AAGAAACAGTCCATTGCCCAGTTTCTGACCGTCTTGACGCCAGAAAAAAAACGGATTATGCAGGCACAATCTGCCCGTGCAGTGAAGTTCAGTGACCCTCCAGAAATTTATCGTTTGCTTTAGCATAACTGCATGTTGTAATGCTATTTTGTTTCTTGCACCACTGTGCATGCTGGTTTTGTAATAACTGCCTTCATGGAAGAGACCAGAAAATAGACTGTCTCGCCAGAGTGGTGCATGCTCTAGTTATCTCCCGCTTGGACTACTGCAACGCGCTCTACATGGGGCTACCTTTGAAGGTGACCCGGAAACTGCAATTAATCCAGAATGCGGCAGCTAGACTGGTGACTGGGAGTGGCCACCAAGATCACATAACACCGGTCCTGAGAGATCTGCATTGGCTCCCAGAACGTTTCCAAGCACAATTCAAAGTGTTGGTGCTGACCTTTAAAGCCCTAAACGGCCTCGGTACTGTATACCTGAAGGAGCGTCTCCACCCCCATCTGCCTGCTTCCCTGTAACTTGGCTTCTTGCAGTGAGGGAACCGCCAGAAGGCCCTCGGAGCTCGACCTCAGTCTCCGGGCAGAACAATGGAAGTGGAGACACTCCTTCAGAGTAGCCCCACATAAAGCGCATTGCAGTAGTCCAAGTGAGAGATAACCAGAGCATGCGCCACTCTGGCGAGGCAATCCACAGGCAAATAGGGTCTCAGCCTGCGTACCAGATGGAGCTGGTAGGCAGCTGCCCTGGACACAGAATTGACCTGCGCCTCCATGGACAGCTGTGAGTCCAAAATGACTCCCAGGCTGCGCACCTGGTCCTTCAGGAGCACAGTTACCCCATTCAGGACCAGGGAGTCCTCCATACCCGCCCGCCTCCTGTCCCCCCAAAACAGTACTTCTGTCTTGTCAGGATTCAGCCTCAATCTGTTAGCCACCATCCAATCGTATCCAGGCACTCACACAGGACTTTCACCGCCTTCACTGGTTCTGATTTGAAAGAGAGGTAAAGCTGGGTATCATCCGCATATTGATGAACACCCAGCCCAATCCCCCTGATGATGTCTCCCAGCGGCTGCATGTAGATGTTGAAAAGCATGGGGGAGAGGACAGAACACTGAGGCAACCCACAAGTGAGAGCCCAGGGGTCTGAACACTCACCCCCCACCAACACTTTCTGGACACGAACCAGGAGGAAGGAGCGGAACCACTGTATAACAGTGCCCCCAGCTCCCAGTCCGTTTAGACGGTCCGGAAGGATATTATGGTCAATGGTATCAAATGCCGCTGAGAGATCCAGCAGAACTAGGAAACAGCTCTCACCTTTGTCCCTAGCCTGCCAGAGATCATCGACCTGTGTAACCAAGGTAGTTTCAGTCCCATGATGAGGCCTGAATCCTGGAAGGAATCCAAATGCCTGGAGTTGTTCAGCAACCACTCGCTCAATCACCTTGCCCAAGAATGGAAGATTTGAGACTGGGTGATAGTTGGCCATATTGGCTGCATCTAAAGATGTTTTTTTAAGAAGCGGTTTGATAACCGCCTCTTTCACTGGGTCTGGGAAAGCTCCCTCACAGAGAGAAGCATTCACCAGCCTGCGAAGCCCATCACCCAGCTCTTCCCGGCTAGCTTTTATAAGCCAGGATGGGCAAGGATCAATAAGGCAGGTGGTTGGTTTCACTCGTCCAAGCAGCCTGTCTACATCTTCGGGGGTAACAGATTGAAACTGAACCCATGCAACTTGACTAGACAGGACTCTAGCACTCTCCCCCCACGGCCCAGCTTCCACGGTGGAGTCTACCTCTTCCCGAATCTAAGCGACTTTATCTGCAAAAAAACTTTGCAAAATCATTGCAGGAGACCATGTGGCCTGTACTGGGCCCCGATGGAGCAGGTGGTTCCGCTAAATTGCGAACCACCTGAAAGAGTCTCCTGCTGCTATTTTCCACAGATGCAATAGAGGCGGTGAAGAAAGTCTTCTTTGCTGTCGCTATCGCCACTTGGTAGGCTCGACATTGAGCTCTAACCCATGTCCGGTCAGATTCAGAATGAGTTATCCGCCACCGGTGCTCTAGCCGTCTCAGCGACTGTTTCATTGCCCTCAGATCCATGGAAAACCATGGGGCTGTCCAGGCTCCATGCAATCGGAGAGGGCGCTTCGGAGCTGAACAGTCAACAGCCCTGGTTAACTCCACATTCCAGCGGGCCACCAGGGAATCAGCTGAAAGGCCACCAACATGGGATAAAACATCTCCTACCACTCTCTGGAAACCATTTGGATCCATTAAGTGGCAGGGGTGGACCACTCAAAGGAAACTAGGCAAAGGAAACTAGGCAATTTGCAAATTGGCACAGTGAACTGCAGTAGTGAACAAGCCAAATGTCAATTTCATGGGGTCCGCTGGTCTGAAATATTATTACTGTAATATGGAAAGTACATGTTTTCATGATGTTTCCAATGCATATTTATTTGCTCTAGTGAGGGTAAACTGGTCCTAGCCTGTAAAATTATGTTCTGTGCATTGTTTAGTATTTTAATAAGTCAAGACATGCTGTAACTTTGGTGCAGTTGGCAGGTAAATGCCAGCATTGGAAACTAGCTGACTGCACACTTATAATTTGCCCATGTAGTGAGAGAATCAGAAACAGTTGAATGGTGTGATATATACCTACACAAGGAGACTGAGCCCTTTCATGATGCATAGCCAAGTTGCATGCGTGCCTTAGAGAATGGCAAAGAATGCAGAAAATGCATGTTTGGGTGTGTTTTTATAGCTGAGGATACTGTCCTTCTGCTTATAACATGGCCATGCAACATGATGCAATGAAATTACAGCGACGTATTTTCTAAGTTTGTAAGTTTTCAGTTCACGTCTTTGAGCTATTTTTTTTAAAATTTGCAAACCCCATGGTTTGCTATACACCCAGGTTCCCCCAGACATTTTTCCTGATTTTTCAAAATTCCACCTGGACACCAGTTCCAATGGATGAATCCTGGATATGTCCAGGGAATTCTGGGTGTATGGCAGCCCTAGAACTGTAAACAATACAACCCCAACATTGGTCATGTTACCCAGCTTTTTTTCAGCCGGAAATCACTGGAACTCAGTTCTGGTACCTCTCAGGTGGGTGCCACTGCCATTCTAAGAGAACAAGGGAGGTGTTCATGGTGCACCTCTTTTTCTAGAAAAATAACACTGCCCAGCACCCATTTTCAGTGGGGGTATGTCACAGCCTCCTCTTCTGCTTTTTTTACTGGGATACCTTTGCACAGGATTGCAAAGTTATAGGGTTGTGTAGGGTGCCTCATGTTGTCTTTGCAAATGGAGTAAAAAAACATGAGCAAATTAAGCCCTAGCAAGGCAAACACAAGCTGCTAAAAACAGAAGAAATGTGGAATGTTTGAAGGGCATTTCCGCAGAAACAGGAGAAGACAACACATTTCTGCAGGAGAGATACAATTCCACAGCAACTCTCAGATATGATACAGACTAAATTGTATTCTCTATCATATACATTTTCTAAAAAAAGCATATTGACAGCACTTCTTGAGGCTTATTTTAAAAAAAACATGATAACAGTTAAAGATGTTTATTTCCGAAGTGGCTGTCCTGTACTGAGTGTTTCATAACATGACTTCTATCCTTCATTTTGCTCTAGTCAAATTCAGAACTCAGCTGCAGGAACTAAAAACAAAAGAAGACCCAGTCACATATCTCTGGAACAGCACGGAATTTGGCCCTCACTTTTTATGCAGATAGATACATGTTTTTCTCCTTCTCTTGTAACACCACAACTCATGCACACCCTGGGATTCTAAATGTCGTAAGATTCAGGACAGACAGAAGAAAGTCATTCATGCACTGCCTTGTAGAACTATGGAACTCATTCCCACTGGAGGCAGTAATGATCACCAACCTGGATGGCTTGAAAAGAGGATTATACAAATTACTTAAGCTCTTCTTACTGGATGGAAACTGAGGGCTGTTGTCTTTACACCCTGCTTGTGAGTTTCCTTGGGGGATCTGGTTGGCTGCTGTTAGATACTGAGTGTTGAACTAGATTGGACACAACATCTGACCCATTTGTTACATGCTGGAGAATGGCACGTGGCTAACAATTCCCTTGCTTTTTGTTGTTTGCAGCTCTTAAATGTTTGGAAAAAGTCAGAAGCCCAAGGCAGTATAAGTTCCTCAGCTAAGTTTATTCAACATTTGTCAGTGACAACAGCTCACTCATAGGAACACAAGAACCAAGCTGACTGGACAACACAATAATAATGCGAAGCATGAACTGACCGTTGACAGTTGAAAGAGCATGCACTTACTTGCTGTTAGAATGTTCATCTACCAACGCTTATACGATTGGTTAGAACACGCCTTGTAACATAAAATGTGTTAAACCCAATACATAACACTCCTCCCCCCAACTTCCTAACAAAAGGAACAAACATAGTCATCAAGGTGTGCTGGCCTTTTCCGCTCCCGCTGGGACCGTCGTGGTTCCTGTGCCCGAGTGGGTGACCAGGAGGTTCCTCCGGTACCTGCGGTCTGAGTGGGGTGGTCAGCGAGGCCGGCTCCGAAGGGGTCACTGCCGATGGAGCCACTGAGGATTCTGGCCTGAAGTTGCCCTGCTGGGGTAACTCAGTCACCAGCAACCCGTCTGGTTCCCACCCTGGCCTGGGCACAGAATCTCCTGAAGTACCCATTTCTCTGTCCTCTGGTTCCGCTTGAAGTTCCGTGTTCGGAGGTGCTTTGGCTCTGATATGGTTGATGTGTCTCTTCCAAACCAGTCCCCCCTCCAACCCTACCTTGTAGGAAACCGGACCTGTACAGCGGGCAATGATACCGGGGACCCAACCCTGTCCAGACCCATAGTTTTGGAGGTACACAGTGTCCCCGGGGAGAACCTTCTTGGAGCCCCCTGCACCACAGTGGATGGCCGTTGCTCAAGAGCCCGGTCAGGGTGCATACAATCAAGGAGGGTAGTGAGCCTCCTCCCCATAAGCAACTCCGCCAGGGTCCAGCCAGTCACTGCGCTTGGGGTGATGTGTTGAGCCAATAAGAACTCCGCTAACCAGAGAGTCCAGTCTCCATGCACCATGCGCCTAAGCACATCTTTGGTAGTAAGGACAATGTGTTCAGCTTGGCTGTTAGTGGCCGGGTGAAAAGGAGCAGAACAAATGTGGATTCCATTCTTGGTCCCATTATTACTCAGCAGTATGTCTGGCAAGCCGTGTGTTGCAAATAGCTTCCTGAACGCGTTTACAGTAACTCTAGCGGACATGGTTGAGGTCGGCACCACCTTGAGCCCCTTGGACTGAGAGTCGACTACTATTAGGAAGTGTTGGCCCTGAAAAGGCCCCACGAAATCCATGTGCACCCGAGACCATGGGGACTGTGTGGACTCCCAGGACCGTACTGGTGCCTTGGGTGGATCCGGCCGGTAGACCTGGCAGGGCTCGCAACGTTTCACCCAGCCCTCTATCTCCGCATCTACAGTGGTGCCCCGCAAGACGAATGCCTCGCAAGACGAAAAACTCGCTAGACGAAAGGGTTTTGCGGTTTTTGAGCTGCTTCGCAAGACGAATTTCCCTATGGGCTTGCTTCGCAAGACGAAAACGTCTTGCAAGTTTGTTTCCTTTTTCGTAAAACCGTTAAAACCCAGGGTGCATTGCTGGAAGAGGTGCAGTTGCGACTTGACTTCGAGGAGCAACTCGTAGCACGCGGTGTGGTAGCCTTTTTTGAGGTTTTTGAAGACTTTGGCGATTTTTGAAGCTTTTCCAAAACTTCTTTTGCAGCCATTTGGTAAGTTAAACTTTTAAAACTTTTTTGGGGGTTTTTGGATTTTGGATTGGGGTGTTTGGAATTCAAAGACTTGGTGTTGGGGAGGGGTTTGCAAGAATCTGGAAACTTGTTTTTTTCCCCTGCATTTTTATGATTTTTTGTGACCACTGGGCCACTCTGCTGTTTTTTTTTTAAAAAAAATTCTGGGTTTGAATTTCTGTGTGGTGGCTGGCTGGGGGAACAGTTGAGGGGGGGTTGCAAGAATCTGGAAGCTTGTGTGGTTTTTTTTTTTTTTTGAATTTTTATGATTTTCTGTGACCATTGGGCCATGTTTTTTTAAAAAAAAAAATTCTGGGTTTGAATTTCTGTGTGGTGGGTGGCTGGGGGAACAGTTGAGGAGGGGTTTGCAAGAATCTGGGAGCTCGTGTGGTTTTGTTTTTGTTTTGTTTTTGAATTTTTATGATTTTCTGTGACCATTGGGCCATGTTGTTTTTTTAAAAAAAAAATTCTAGGTTTGAATTTCTGTGTGGTGGGTGGCTGGGGGAACAGCTGAGGAGGTTTTTGCAAGAATCTGGGAGCTTGTGTGGTTTTTTTTTTTTTTGAATTTTTATGATTTTCTGTGACCATTGGGCCATGTTTTTTTTAAAAAAAATTTCTAGGTTTGAATTTCTGTGTGGTGGCTGGCTGGGGGAACAGCTGAGGAGGTTTGCAAGAATCTGGGAGCTTGTGTGGTTTTTTTTTTGTTTTGGTTTTTTTTTTTTTTGAATTTTTATGATTTTCTGTGACCATTGGGCCATGTTGTTTTTTTTCAAAAAAATTTCTGGGTTTGAATTTCTGTGTGGTGGGTGGCTGGGGGAACAGTTGAGGACGGGTTTGCAAGGATCTGGGAGCTTGTGTGGTTGTTTTTGGTTTTTTTTCTTTTGAATTTTTAAGATTTTCTGTGACCATTGGGCCATGTTGTTTTTTTTAAAAAAAATAATCTGAGTTTGAATTTCTGTGTGGTGGGTGGCTGGGGGAACAGTTGAGGAGGGGTTTGCAAGAATCTGGGAGCTTGTGCAGGTTTTTTTTTTTTGAATTTTTATAATTTTCTGTGACCATTGGGCCATGTTGTTTTTTTTCAAAAAAATCTCTGGGTTTGAATTTTTGTGTGGTGGGTGGCTGGGGGAACAGTTGGGGAGGGGTTTGCAAGAATCTGGGAGCTTGTGTGGTTTTTTATGCATTTTTATGATTTTCTGTGACCATTGGGCCATGTTTTTTTTCAAAAAAATCTCTGGGTTTGAATTTTTGTGTGCTGGGTGGCTGGGGGAACAGTTGAGGAGGGGTTTGCAAGAATCTGGGAGCTTGTGTGGGGTTTTTTTGTTTTTTTGTTTTTGAATTTTTATGATTTTCTGTGACCATTGGGCCATGTTGTTTTTTTAAAAAAAAAAATTCTGGGTTTGAATTTCTGTGTGGTGGCTGGCTGGGGGAACAGCTGAGGAGGGGTTTGCAAGAATCTGGGAGCTCGTGTGGTTTTTTTCTGCATTTTTATGATTTTCTGTGACCATTGGGCCATGTTTTTTTTTTAAAAAAAAAAAATTCTGGGTTTGAATTTCTGTGTGGTGGCTGGCTTTGGGAACAGCTGAGGAGGGGTTTGCAAGAATCTGGGAGCTCGTGTGGTTTTTTTCTGCATTTTTATGATTTTCTGTGACCATTGGGCCATGTTGTTTTTTTTCAAAAAAATTTCTGGGTTTGAATTTCTGTGTGGTGGGTGGCTGGGGGAACAGTTGAGGAGGGGTTTGCAAGGATCTGGGAACTTGTGTGGTTGGTTTTTTTTTGTTTGTTTGTTTGTTTTTGAATTTTTATGATTTTCTGTGACCATTGGGCCATGTTGTTTTTTTAAAAAAAAATTTCTGGGTTTGAATTTCTGTGTGGTGGGTGGCTGGGGGAACAGTTGAGGAGGGGTTTGCAAGAATCTGGGAGCTTGTGTGGGTTTTTTTTTAATTTGTATGATTTTCTGTGACCATTGGGCCATGTTGTTTTTTTCAAAAAAAAATTCTGGGTTTGAATTTCTGTGTGGTGGGTGGCTGGGGGAACAGTTGAGGAGGGGTTTGCAAGAATCTGGGAGCTTGTGCGGTTTTTTTTTTTGAATTTTTATGATTTTCTGTGACCATTGGGCCATGTTGTTTTTTTAAAAAAAAAATTCTGGGTTTGAATTTCTGTGTGGTGGGTGGCTGGGGGAACAGTTGAGGAGGGGTTTGCAAGAATCTGGGAGCTTGTGCGGGTTTTTTTGAATTTTTTTGATTTTCTGTGACCATTGGGCCATGTTGTTTTTTTTCAAAAAAAAATTCTGGGTTTGAATTTCTGTGTGGTGGGTGGCTGGGGGAACAGTTGAGGAGGGGTTTGCAAGGATCTGGGAGCTTGTGTGGTTGTTTTTTTGTTTTTTGTTTTTTTTGAATTTTTATGATTTTCTGTGACCATTGGGCCATGTTTTTTTAAAAAAAAAAATTCTGGGTTTGAATTTCTGTGTGGTGGGTGGCTGGGGGAACAGTTGAGGACGGGTTTGCAAGAATCTGGGAGCTTGTGTGGTTTTTTATGCATTTTTATGATTTTCTGTGACCATTGGGCCATGTTGTTGTTTTTCAAAAAAATTTCTGGGCTTGAATTTCTGTGTGGTGGGTGGCTAGGGGAACAGTTGAGGAGGGGTTTGCAACAGTTGGGGAGGGGATCTCAATTTCTGTGTGGTGGGTGGGTGGCTGGGGGAACAGTTGAGGTTTTTGAAGACTTTGGTGATTTTTGAAGCTTTTCCAAAACTTCTTTTGCAGCCATTTGGTAAGTTAAACTTTTAAAACTTTTTTGGGGGTTTTTGGATTTTGGGTTGGGTGTTTGTAATTCAAGGACTTGGTTCTGGGTTTGAATTTCTGTGTGGTGGGTGGCTGGGCGCTTTTGAATTTTTTGGATGTGAAGCACTGATTCCTTTTTTTTTTTTTTTTTTTTGAGTTTGCGAAAGTAAGAGCTGTGCTGCCATGGGACCCAAGAAGACTGCTGCTGCAGAGGCCGGCGAGAGGAAGAAGGAAAAGGTGACGCTGGAAATGAAGAAGGAGATCATCCGGAAGCACGACGGTGGAATGCGTGTGACAGACCTCGCCAGGGAGTACGGGAGGAATCCATCGACCATCGGGACCATCCGGAAGATGAGGGAGAAGATCCTTGCGACTGATGCAGCCAAGGGAGTCATCAGGATCGTGAAGAACCGCCCAGCTGTTCTGGAGGAGGTCGAGAAGTTGCTGCTCATCCGGTTAGAAGAGAAGCAGCGTGCAGGGGACACAGTGACTGAGGCCGTCATTTGTGAGAAGGCCAAGGCCTTGCACGCAGACCTCATTCGGGAACAGCCAGGAACCTCAGGCAAAGTCTTCAAGGCAAGCAGAGGTTGGTTTGACCGGTTCAAGGCAAGATCTGGAATCCACAGCGTGGTCAGGCATGGAGAGGCTGCCAGTTCTGATGTTCCTGCGGCTGAAGACTTTGCAGCGGAGTTCTTGGAGGCTGTGAAGACGGAGGGCTACATTCCACAGCAGGTCTTCAACTGCGACGAGACCGGGCTGTTTTGGAAGAGGATGCCCAAAAGGACTTTCCTCACACAGGAGGAGGCCAAGTTGCCTGGCCACAAGCCCATGAAGGACCGCCTGACCCTGCTCTTCTGTGCCAACGAAAGCGGCGACCTGAAGATCAAGCCCCTGCTGGTATACCACTCGGAGAACCCATGGGCCTTCAAGAAACACAAGGTCGACAAGGAGCAGCTGAGTGTCATGTGGCGATCCAACAGTAAGGCTTGGGTCACACGTGTGCTGTTTGTGGACTGGGTCAATCTTGCTTTTGGCCCTGCTGTCAAACAGTACCTGCTGGACAACGACCTGCCGCTGAAGGCTTTGCTTCTGATGGACAATGCTCCTGCTCATCCTAAAGGCCTTGAGTTGGACTTGTTGGAGGAGTACAGCTTCATCAGAATCATGTTCCTGCCGCCTAACACCACGCCACTGCTCCAGCCGATGGATCAGCAGGTCATCGCCAATTTCAAAAAACTCTACACCAAGGAGCTTTTCAGGCGATGCTTCGAGGTGACTGATTGCACCACCATCACCCTGCGGGAATTCTGGAAGGACCACTTCGACATCGTCACCTGCTTGAAGATGATCACCACGGCCTCTAACGGGATCAGCCAGAGAAATTTGAATTGCGCTTGGCGCAGCCTGTGGCCGGACTATGTGGCACCAAGTGACTCTGATGCACCAGAGTCAACAGTGGTGCAGGACATTGTTGCCTTGGGGAGGACCATGGGCCTGGAGGTCACAGAGGAGGACGTCTGCGAGCTGGTGGAGGAGCACGACCACAAGCTGACTACCCAGGAGCTGGTCGAACTTCAGGCAGAGGCTGCGCAGGAGCAGGCGCTGGAAGAGGAGGAAGCAACTGAGGAACGGCTGTCCTCCAAAGAACTGAGGGACGTTTGCCTGAAGTGGAAAGATGTGCAGGCTTTTGCACAGCGGCACCACCCTGACAAGCACGTGGCACATGACCTTGTGAACACTTTTGATATGAGGGTCATGTCGCCTTTCAGGGAGGTGCTGAAAAGGCGGATGAAGCAGCAGACCATGGACAGGTTCTTCAGCAAGAAGCAAAGAGTGGAAGAGGAACCTTCTTCGAGTGGTACCCCAGAGTCTTAGAAAATGTACTGTACACTTTGTTGATTTTTAAATGTTTTTCTGTCATGTTTAGAAACTTAATTTATTGTTCCTTCAATTTTTGAAACGCTCTTTACAGTATGTGTGACTTTAAAGAGCACTTAATAAAGTCTTGTTGTACCAAATTTGGCTTTGTTTGGACTTTTTTTGACCATAGGAACGCATTAATTGAATTTTAATGCATTCCTATGGGATTTCGTGCTTCGCAAGACGAAAAATTCGCTAGACGAAAAAACTCGCAGAACAAATTAATTTCGTCTTGCGAGGCACCACTGTATGCCTGGCCGTGACCACACATAGCTACGGGCCAATGCCTTCATCCGGACAATCCCCGGGTGGGACACGTGCAGCCCTTCTAAGACTTTTTTCCTTAATGGGGGGGACGGACTATGACATGGCTACCCATAACACACATCCTTGGTGAGTAGACAGCTCATCCTTGCGGGCTGTGTAGCATGAAAATTCTGGACCCAGCTTCCCGGGCCACCCCCTCCCCTCCCAGTCCAAGACGCAGGACAACAGCCTATGCTTTGCGGTTGCGGTGGCAATGTCCTTCACATGCAAGGGCTGGTCCGGTAAGTCTTTCAGCCGCAGGATCTGCATGTCCGATGCTCTTGGTTTTCTCCGAAGCTGACGCAGGTTCCTCAAGGTGCGTCAGATTATCGCTGGTTCGACGATGCTCTCGTAGCTTGGGAGCAGTGGTGTCGGTCGGATCAGTCCAAAGCTCGGTGGACATCCTCATTGTGGGAATCTATGGAAGACGACCGGTCTCGCTGGATGTGGTGAGTTCTCCTTATGTGGGTTGTGGACCGCCTCGTGGGCATTATCCTTCTCAAAGGCTGTGGCCATATTCATTGCTTCCATCATCGTGATATCGTCTTTTGCCAGCAGCTTGCGGCAGAGACAGCTGTCTGATGAATCTTTCAAGAAGTCCCCCGATGTCAGTGAATTGGCAATACATTGCAATCGCCCAGAGCGCTGTGATGTATTCACTCGCTGACTCTTGTGCTTGTTGCTCTCTGTGTGCAAAGTCGTAGCGGCGGTGGTTCTTAGTTGGCTGAGGCACGAGGTGTCTTGTCATAGCCTTTGTCAGCTCATTGAAAGTGCATGCCTCCATGTCCCGGGTGCCATCAGACCTTCCAGTAGAGTGATGGCGGAACTTCCTAGCACCATCAGTAGCACATCCGCCTTGTCTGCCTAGTGAAGCCTTGTAGTCAGACGTAGCTCCTTATTCGCCGGAGCCACTGCGGCCATTCTGCAGGATGGCTCATATCAAAATCTGGTGGCAGCCAACTATGACTGGTAGCCATCCTCAGAGCTGGGGCAGTCGCTTGTGCAATTGTGGGTGGTTGTGAAGATGCGGCAGGCGCGGTCTCGTTTCTGGGACTATTTGCTGAGTCCAGTGTGGCGGTGAGGTCGCGCTTACTGCGAGGCGGCAGGCGGCGGTGCTGCGGTGCGGTCTTGGGCCTCTGGCAGCCAGCGGGAGCTCATCAATCCCACCCTCGTTGCTAGTGTTAAATGTTCAGAAAAAGTCAGAAGCCCAAGGCAGTATAAGTTCCTCAACTATGTTTATTCAACATTTGTCAGTGACAACAGCTCACTCATAGGAACACAAGAACCGAACTGACTGGACAACACAATAATAAAGCTGAGTATTAACTGACCGTTGTTGACAGTTGACAGTTGAAAGTGCATGCGCTTACTTGCCATTAGAATGTTCGTCTACCAACGCTTATACGATTGGTTAGAACGCGCCGTGTAACATAAAATGTGTTAAACCCAATACATAACAGCTGCCCTGCCCCAAGGCAATACAGTCGTACCTTAGAAGTCGAACAGAATCCATTCCAGAAGTCCGTTCGAATTAAAAAATGTTCGGAAACCAAAGTGCAGCTTCGGATTGGCTGCAGGAAGCTCCTGCAACCAATCAGAAGCTGCAGAAGCCCCGTCGGATATTTGGGTTCCAAAGAACGTTCACAAACCAGAACACTCACTTCTGGCTTTGCGGTGTTCGGGAGCCAAGACGTCTGAGTACGAAGGCGTTCGGGATCCAAGGTACTTGAAAAAGGAAGTTTACTGAGCTGCTGGTAGGCTGCTTATACAGTAGAACAGCTCAGGAGTTATGAGTGCAGCCTTGGAAGAGTCTCCCCTTTTACACGGTTTCCCCTGCCACTTGAGAATGCGATAACACAGCAGGCTGGTTAGGTCATTCAAAATTTGGCAGCATAAATTTTCCTGTAGGTTGTATGGGGTGACTTGTTCCCCTGCAGAAAATTATTTTATTTACTCCTTTGGAGTATTTGGTACCAACCCAAAAGGGTTATCAGAGTGGCTTTCATATGATTAAAACAAGACAGTCCCCACCTGCAAGATTACAATCTAGAGAAACATGATACACAAGGAAAAAGGGAAAGCGAGGGGAGGGGGGGGATCAAAATTAAGGCACTGATTTTTAAACCGTTCTTCCTGTATTTAATTAATTTTTATTCATTTAATTTGTATCCGGCCCTATACCTGCAGGTCTCACGGACCAGCCTGCACAATTCAGGGGCAAGAGGTGCTTGATGGAGCCTTCAAGGAACTGTTTGTGGTTGTGTTTATGTTTAATAGCAGCACGGTATTATCATTATCTGAAGGGGAACTTGTGACTACTTTTCCTCACCCTGACGATCTAAATAAGGATAAGGAACTTTTAGAGTTTACGCTCAACGAGCTTATAGCTTAGTGGTTACTTTTGAAAAGCACAACACTCTAGGGCTCATCCGCACCTCTGCTTGTTCTACCATTTCCCCAGGGGAAACCTGTGGATTACAGCTGAATTGGACCAAACAGCAATTGAGTTCTCCATGGATGGCTTTTTCTTGCAATTCGGTGGTAAAGAATGTGTTTTCCAGGGGAAAGCTGCAAGGCATGTGCAAAATCACTTGGACCCACATCTAGAAGCAAGGGACAAGCAGGAAAGCACAGGACAGCTGGAGCTGTGCAGCAGCCCTTTGTTTCAAACAAACACTTTGCAGAGATATTTAGGGTTATTCTTAACTTGTCACTGGATGGTTAAATTGTTTCTAGCATGACTATTGACTTGTACTACCCAAATAAACACTCCCATACCCTTCTAGAATCCTAACCCTTCTGTCAGGGAATCAAAATTGGTGTGTCCTGCCTAGGCTAACCCCACTCAAATTGTTCAGTCTTGTCTACCCACAGACAATCCCTAATTCTAACTGAGACCCAGTTTCAGAACAAACCTATGGCACATCTATGGAACAAGGAGAAAAGGTATTGGACCTGGGAGGATTAGCCATAGACCCCTTCTGTCCAACTAGGCCAAAAGTCCCTATCTGACTATTAAACTGCCGGCATCAAACTGTCACTCTCACTCACCTGACTAATGGTCTCACCAACTCTTACTAGTAGCTGGGTCACCAGGAAGCAGACCCATGACCTGTCCTTCACAGAGGGCTTCCTTATTTAACAGGCCATGCTTTTATTATGATGGGGTATGTGAATGAATATATAGGATGTGTAGATTGAAAGGGCTCAGGGAGTATCCAGGAGACAGGTTAATACAGGGGTAGGAGAAACAAGCTCATCGTGCACAGAGGCGTATTGTATACAGTGGTGCCTCGCAAGACGAAATTAATCCGTTCCGCGAGTGTCTTCGTCTAGCGGTTTTTTCGTCTTGCGAAGCAACCCTATTAGCGCTTAGCGGATTAGCGCTATTAGCGGTTTAGCGGCTATTAAAGGCTTATCGGCTTAGCGGATTAGCTGCTAAAAGGCTATTAAAGGCTTAGCGGCTTAGAAAAAGGGGGGGGAGCGAAAAAAAATCTCAAGACTCGCAAGACATTTTCATCTTGCGAAGCAAGCCCATAGGGAAATTCGTCCTGCGAAGCAACTCAAAAACGGAAAACCCTTTCGTCTAGCGGGTTTTCCGTCTTGCGAGGCATTCGTCTTGCGGGGCACCACTGTACCTTCAAAAATATCTGTCAGTGAGGGTCTGGGCTACCCTCTGCCCCCCTGCCCTGCTTCACCACAGCCACTTTTAGACATCCTGTTGATTGAACATTCATCCAGATTTGTTTGCGCAGAGATCAGACAATGTTGTCTATTCAATTAGCATTTACCCTGATAGGTTTGCTGGGATGTTGGCTGATGGTTTACTAAGGATGCTGAGAAGTGGCTACAGTTCTCAGCATCCACCACTCCAGTTCCCAGAATTCTCTGAGGGAAGCTCTGAGAATTCAAGTGGTATCATAGGGCTTTAAATGCATGGTGTGAATGTGACTGGCCTTGTTGCTTTTCGTAGAAAGGTGCTACAAAGGTTTGTTCATATTTGGTTTTGAGGCAGAAGAATCCCACCCTGTCCTGAGGGAATAATGCTCTGCAGCCACTTATTCACTTCATCTACTCCAATCCACTCTGGCAAAAGAGGAAAATTGGATACTTACTGTTAATTTCAGTTTGAAGAGTGGACTGGAGAACATTAACCCACCTCATTTTTTTCCTCTGCTTTCTCTTAGACTTAGAGTGGCTTAATATGTTTTTGTTCTCTTGGTTTGAATAAAAATGTAACTACTGTTATGTAATTTCCAAATGCTAGCTTTGTCTGTTCATAGAATCATTTAATTGTAGAGCTGGAAGGGATCCCGTGGGGTCATCTAGTCCAACCCCCTGCAATGCAGGAATCTCAGCTAAAGCTTCCATGACAGGTGGCCCTCCAACCTCTGCTTAAAAACCTCCAAGAAGGAGAGTCCACCACCTCTTGTGGGAGTCTGTTTCATGGCCAACAGCTTTAACATTCAGAAAGTTCTTCCTGATGTTTTGTCAGAATCTCCTTCCTTGTTTCTTGACTCCATGTGTCCTCCTTTTGAGCCCTTAAGTACTTTAAGTTTTTAACTTTGAAAACTGTTTTCTTAGTAGCCATGACTTCTGCTCATAGGTATTCAGAGTCGAGGGCCTTGTCCTCTGATCTTCAACTCATTGTTTTCCCACCAGGATAAAGTTGTGTTCTTCCCAACCCCTTCTTTTTCATGCCCAAAATTAATTCAGTTTTTCATAGAGCCCAAGACCAGGTGCTTTCTTTCTTTCTTTCTTTCTTTCTTTCTTTCTTTCTTTCTTTCTTTCTTTCTTTGTTTCTTTCTTAGTCCCTTATGCAGTCGAGGATGTAGATGGTATTCCCTAGATGTAAGACATGCCCTACTCTTTTTTTCTTTTTTTTTAAGCAGAGCACTAGAGTTCTGCAAGGTAGGGTCCCTGTATGTCTTACTTAGGTCCATTTAAGGAGAAAAGGGTGTCTTCATCCTCTGTTTTCTAGATGGCTTGAATTCTGTATCACTCAGGCATATGGGACACTGGGGAAGGATGCTTCTAGGGGATCTACCACTCATTCTTTAAGGGGAGTGGCAATAACAACTGCTTTTAAGAGCATTTATTCTGGGTACTTTGAAGGAAAAGACTTTTGTATCTGATTGAGTGGGAACTGACTTGGGGGGTGGTTGGAATAGAAACACCAGTTTGGGTAGGATCATAATTTTTACTGTTGCTAATCTGTCAGGGAGGGTAAAATGAGTTTTGCTCCATTTTTTTTTTCTAATTTTGAAGAATTGTCCGCCATACAAGCAGGACGGTGTTTTGAATAAAGGCTTATTGTTATAATTAATCTAAGCTTTGTGTGACAGAATCGAATGTCTATAAGTTATGTGAAATTTTTTTTTGAATTTTTTTAATTTATTTTTTTGGAGATTGGTGGTAAAATAGTGTTGACTAGCATGGACATAAAGATTTTATAATCCTGATTAATCAGATAGATTGGCCAGAAAGATTCTACCTTCTGTTGGTGTTTAAATAGTTTTGGAATAGGTACAGTTGTGGAGTTGTACCATGTTTTGGAGAGGAGGGGCTCCTCTCGCTAAGTCAATAAATAGGTGGACAATATATGTTAATAACATTTCTTCAAAATTGTTTATAAAACTCAGAAGTGAGCAGAGATTTATGTGGTTTCAATGTTTTAAGAACATTGTCAATTTCTTCTAGGGAGATGGGGCTATCTTAAAAGGTTTTCTCATCATGAGTTGTTGATGGTATGGCTAAATTGAGGGTATCTTTTTTTATTTGGAGATTGCGAAGCAAATTCTGAGCAGATGTCTTAAGGAGAGACATCTTCTCAGAATGTGATTTGTGCCATTGCTTTTTACATCTGTTTGCCAAAAGTATAGAGTTTTGACCTCTAAAAGCGTTTTCATGTATAAGAGGTTGACTAGTGTTATTAATTTCTAAAGAGTCTATTTCTCGCCTCCTATTAGTTCTCCCAGCTTTCTATCTTGTGGCAGGAAGAATTGAGTGATGTCTTTTATTTTCAGCTTTCCTGCATCCTTTTGCATTCCACTCTACTTTCTTCAAGGTTTGGGCTTTTTTAGACAGTGGGGGCTTTTGCTCCAAGCTGTTTTTCTGGGCCTTCAAACAGAACTTAGAGTTTAAGCCAGGGACAAAACTAGGCTTTCTTTCACCAGAGTCAAAGACTCAGTCTGTCACACACACATTTGCATACACGCACCCCCCCCAACACATTTGTTTTTAAAGGGCGTAAAAAAGTAGGCAACCTTAAGTATATTTTCTCAGAGAGTAGTTGATCATTTGAGGAATCCTAAGAAGTATTATGACTGTATGACCAAAGGGCAAATGAGCATCCTTTCCAGTAAAAGTAAATTGTTTGTCAAAAGTAGAGCTTCCATGTGCAGCAATCGTCTATCTGAATAAGTCTTATTGAACTCAGTGGGACTTACCGTACTTCTGATTAAAAAATGCTTATGGTTGCAGTATAAGACTGCACAATCTTTACACAGTTGCCTCCATTGAATTCAGTGGGACTTACTTTGAGTAGACATGTACAGTGGTACCTTGGTTCTCAAATTTAATCCGTTCTGGAAGTCCGTTCCAAAACCAAAGTGTTCCAAAACCAAGGCGCACTTTCCCATAGAAAGTAATACAAAATGGATTAATCCATTCCTGACTTTTAAAAACAACCCCTAAAACAGCAATTTAACATGAATTTTACTATCTAACGAGACCATTGATCCATAAAATGAAAGCAATAATCAATGTACAGTGGTACTTCCGGTTACAAACTTAATTTGTTCCGGAGGTCTGTTCTTAACCCGAAACCGTTCATAACCTGAGTCGCGCTTTCGCTAATGGCGCCTCCCGCTGCTGCCATGCTGCCGGCGCGCAACTTCTGCTCACATCCCGCGGCAAAGTTCGCAAACAGGAGCATCTTCCGGATTAGCAGAGTTCGTTACCCGAAGTGTTCATAAGGAGGACGGTACGTAACCCGAGGTTCCACTGTACTGTACTATAAAATAAATAAGACAGTATTGTAGATGATAAAAAAATTAAATTTTTTTTTTCTTAGCTGCACTGATGATAGTCACTGTTTGAATGGGGGCTTTTATCCATTTCCGCAGTCACACAATCAATCAATCAATCAATCAATCAGTAGCTAAACTGGGTTCTACACAGTCACAAAAACAAATTAAACAAAAAGGCCTCAAAAAACAAAAATGCAAAATAAATAGCAAAAACAAAAGCACCAAACCTAATCTGTTCAAGAAGCCCATTTGACTTCCGAAATGTTCAAAAACCAAGGCACAGCTTCTGATTGGTGCAGGTGCCCTGGAAACAAAGCCGACAGCCACATCGGATGTTTGGCTTCCAAAAATTGTTTGAAAACCGGAACACTTACTTCCAGGTTTTCGGTGTTTGAGAATCAAGGCGTTTGAGAACCAAGATACCACTGTAAAGGGTTGCAGTTTAAGAATCTAAGGAATAAAATAAAAGAATAAAGAATAGAAGCATCACATTTCTTTCATTGCAAGTATTTTATCTGCAGTATAAACAAATCTCAGTTTTTATAGCTGATTGTATGCCCTCTTTATGTATTCACATGGTGTAAACATGTATGTTGTCCTCTAGATCCTAACACACAGAGAGAAATTAGAACAGCTGTATTAGAAGCAAGCAATACTCCAAAGTGCTTGTGGACTTGCCATTTAATCATAACAAAAGATCCTGTTTCAAAAAAAGGACAGAAGGTGGTGGAGGCTTCACCCGGGGCAAAAAACAACAACAGCTAGCCCCCCCCCCCACCTCCACCAGCTACAGCTCTGTTTAAGCAGCCATCTTCTTCCTTCAGGCCCCCACCCCTCATCTATAATAATATATACTATATATACCACCCTGGAAACTAATATAGTCTTATGATAATTAGCTCATTCAGCTTTCCAGGCTGTATCAAAAACCTAAGGAAAAAAAGCCACAGTTAGTGGTACAAAGTAAGGAAAAAATTTCCTTACAGGGGAAAAGGGGACCTGCCAAGATGATTGGGGCAAAGCAGAACTGGAGGGTGGGATGGCTCCTGCCCCCAGATGCGGAGACAGAAGACTTGAAAGGCTCTGCCTAGCCATTTCAGCAGGATGAGTCATCCTATTCACTGAATGTCCTTCAGTCGATTCTGGCAAAATTGAATTATTGGAAGAGTTACTATTTTTGTTGCCGCTGTCCTATCTAACATAGTCGAAATTCATGCCATCTCTTGAAATAATGAGTAATGGACTTTTAACACCTGAGTGTAATTACCTAAAAAAAATAGCTTATTAAGTTTTCCGGTGCTGTTTTTCTAGAAAAAAAGAGGTGCCGGAACTCAGCACAAACCCTTTTTCTCTTAAAATTTCAGTGGTGCCAACCTGAAAGCGGCCAGAACTGCGTTCCGGCTGAAAAAAGACTGGAAGGGAATAGTATGATCATGCCACTGATCTCCCTTTCGCACAGACATCATGCCTTACCTATAAAAGAAAGGAAGAGAAAGCTATAACAACATTTCACTTTATGAACATTATAATATAACTTGCATGTCTGTAAAATCAAAAGAAATATGACACATATGGAGTTTCAGTATTTAATCTATTAGTGTGCTGCAGGTGTCTGGTTGTGAGTTTTATCCTGTTATGGTGATGGTGGTGATGATTAGGGGTTGCTTTTAATGTTCTCATATATATTTTTAATTAAGAGAGGGTACCATAGTGGGGGTGGGGAGCACACTGAATAAACCTCCAGCTCTCCGCACAAAAAGGAGATTACAAGGAACACGTTGTGTGCCATCTCAGAGAAATGAAATGAGTTATCACAAGCATAAGCAGGTGGCACGCAACCGTGGAGAAAAACAATGGCAAGACACACAACCCATCCGCCAAGGACGCTTGCCCATCGTTTATGGGAGGTGTGCGAAACTAACTCCCATTGATTCATGCCCATGAGCCGGGGCAGAAGGGGGATCAAATACCACCCGGCTTTCAGGAAGCGGACTGTTGCTTGGATTAATGAGATCAAGAGATTATAACTCTAATAATAATCAACATCACTAAGTGGGGGTGGGGGGAAACAGCCTTGCAAAGCCTGACACTGACTGAAGCTAGATAAGTAATTAAAGCTTGGCTTGAGCAGATTTAAGGATATTTGAATCTGATTTTTCCACGTCCTTAAGGACACGTCAGTGCTAGAGGACTGGTCCTTGTTTTCCGTAATCCACACCTCCGCTGTCTGATTTTCAAGATCTTCAGATTTCAATTCATCCTCACTCCGCAGGACTGAGAGGTCAAGCGGAATGAGGGTACGTATGAGTTACTTCTGAGCAAGAGACAGCAGAGTGCATGATCCAACCCATTATAACCAATAGTCAAAAGGGGAAGCCTCAATGATAGGGGGTCTTGGCCTCACACAAGTTCTCCATGGCCAGAACTAAATATCTCCCACTTTTAAAAGTGTTGCTGCAGAGATTCTGTAGGACTGTAAAGGGAAATTCCTTGTAAGTAATTTTTTTTTTTTTAAAGCAGACTCTGTGTAAGAAATCTTCCTTAGTAAGGTGGTAGGTAAAACAAACAACCACATCCTGGGGTTTGGCAGAATGCCGTATGCTTGCTCAAAGTCACATAGGATGTTCCCCCATTTGGGGAACAGCTTAGACCACCAAGCGATCTCATGTCCTGCCCCTCAAGATCTCATCACCTCGCTGCCCAGCAGTGTCTTTCCCTGAGCTGAAAGAGTTAGTTATGGAAGTAGTGTTGAGGATGCCCAGACTGCTGGTTCTGCGGGACTTCATCATGTTTTGTCTTCTTCTGGCAATGTTAAAGAATGTGGGTTGTATTCAACTAAGTCTCACTCAGAGGCAGATCCACTGTATTGCCCATAAACTTCAATTGGCCTATTCTGAATAGGACTACCATGTGTCACAAAGAATAAAAATGCAATCCTTTTCCCCAATACTGGAGTGCTGTACTCACAGAAACCCTCACCACCAGTCATGCCGGTGATTTTAACAATAAAATCCACAAATAGATTGTATTGTATGTAAGGGCTAAACCTGATGAGAAGAGGAAGAAAGGAGCACAAAATCAAATTGTTGTTTTTTTTTTGGGGGGGGGTGTTTTGCCTACTGAAGCAATTTTGTGCTGGTTCCCACAGCACTTTTTATCAATACAGTGGTACCTCGACTTTTGGATGTAATCCGTTCTGGAAGACTGTTTCGAGTTCCGAAATGTTTGAAAACTGAAAACTCGATACAGAAGGCTCAATATGGAAAACTCAGTATAGAAGGTGTGTGGCATGTTCAACTTCCAAGGCATGTTCAAAAACTGAAGCATTTACTTCCGGGTTTACGGCGTTCGAAAACCGAAATGTTCGTCAACATTTGAAATGTTCATTAACGTTTGAAAACCGAGGTACCACTGTATATGCAACTCATTTTTACCCCCCACCCACCCAAGGCGCATGGGAAGACTATATCTATTTTGCTGCTCCCCAAAAAATGATTCTAATACAGTGTAGTTTTGCTTTAGATGGAACATAACATTAATTGATGCTCATAAGTATTCAGATGTCTATTAACTTAGCAGCATAAACAGTTGCCTTTTATTGAGTCTGTTCACTAGTCCATCTAGTTTAGTATTGTCTACACTGACTGGCAGCAGCTCTCCAGGGTTTCAGGCAAGGGTCTCTCCTGGCCTTATTTGGAGATACTACTGGGGATTGAACCCGGGACCTTCTGCATGCAAAGCAGGTGCTCTGCCACTGAGCTACACTCATCCCCAGGAAGCCATTCGTTCTGAGACCAAGACGACCAGAAATTTCAAAAAAATTGGAGTAAGTTTTGGAAATATATTGGAACGGATATATAGGAGGAACTGGCGGTAATAGAAAAACTTTATCAGCTAATAACTATAAACCTTAATAAACTAATTACGCAACCCGGGATTTATTTGATACTTACCAAAAGGGTGAAGGGAAGTTAAAGGCTAAGGAGAGCCTAACGGTTATATTATTATTTTTTGTATGAACGTATGCTTTCTTTTTGTATAGTATGAAAATAGGATGAATAATTTATGTTAAAATGTTTATTTTTGTATTTGTTAGTTCTTTCTTCTTTTCTTTATACAAATTCTGAATAAAAATTTACTTGCAAAAAAAAAAGGAAGCCATTCGTTCTTAGATGAGGAGACCCCGCCAGGCTACTTTAAGCAGAATCATGTTTTACAGCAGGAGTTGGGGTGGGGGACCTTAAGGAAGGGGGCCAAATGCAGCCCTCCAGGCCTCACTAATCTAGTCATCAAAGCTTGTCTTAATCCTCACTGGCCCTGTGACGCATTACAGGTGTCTTATCGTTGCTGAAATATCACCTTGAACTTTTATAATGCCTCTTGTTTATCCAGACAGAGGAAAGCCGATATGTGTGAGTGGGTGTAAAAACTAGACAGCTAAACCCAGGTAAAACCCACTGTTGCTTTCTGATCTACCAGCATGTGGCCCTCAGGAAGTCGCCCAGAAGTCCTTGAGCTGGAAGGGCTCTAATCCCTGTTTTAGAGTTGCTCCCACACTCTGCAAGGTGTTCCCATTGCCCAGCTGCTCTATGGACAAGATTGCTCTTCCCCTTGCTCCCTGGTGCTAGCTTCCATCCTGATAGCTGATGGCAAAAATCCACCTCTTAAATGTATAAGAAATGTTTGGTGTGACTCCCCTCTTCCACCTTCTCCCTGTGTTTTTTTTTTGTTTTTTAACTTTTCTACTAAATTGCATATTCTATCTCCCCCCGCCCCTGATTATATGTAACACTCAGGCCCAGATGAGACAGTTTATGTATGATTTTTCTTCTTCTTCTTCAGTGACAGTGTGAATCACGAGAGCTATATACAGTGGGAGGGGTGTTTCTCTCTCTGAAACATGAAGTACACTCTGCGAATTTTCTATTTTTTCATGTTTGATGCTGTTAAATCGAATAAGGGGGGGAATGAAGGTTTTATGGTCATATTTGAAGGGGGTTGGACTAGATGACCTTTGGTAGTCCCTTCCAACTCTACAATGCCATGGCTTATGGTTCTATGATATTTTGGGGGAGAGGTAAGACTAGTGTTTATTTTTCTGTAAGAGGCCTAGTTTGGTCAGAATCAAGTATAAACTTCCAGAGTTAATGAAAAATACATTGTCTTTGTTAAATGAGCCACCATAGCCGCTAGAGGGCCATGGAAATTTGTGTCCCAGGCTTTTTAGACTTGTCTACCCATGTACTATCTGGAACCAAAGTGGCACATTGGTTGCCAGATGTGAAATATTTTGGCATTATTTTCAGCTCTCCCACTCCACCAATTACCGTATTTTTCGCCCTATAAGACGCACTTTTCCCCCTCCAAAAATGAAGGGGAAATGCGTGTGCGTCCTATGGGGCGAATGCAGGCTTTCGCTGCAGCCTGGAGAGCAAGAGGGGTCGGTGTGCACCGACCCCTCTCGCTCTCCAGGCTTCAGGAAGCTATCCGCAAGCCTGAAGCCCGAAACCTGGGGAGCGCAGCGGGGCGCACCCCGGGCTTCGGGCAGCTCTCTGCAAGCCTTCGGAGCACAGCACGACTTGCCGCCGGGCTCCCAAGGCTTGTGGACAGCAAGCTCCACAAGCTCTGGGAGCGATGGCGAGGTTGCGCAACCTCGCCGTCGCTCCCGGACCCCCAGCCCCGAGGCTAAAAAGGAAGCCAGGACAGCGAGCGGGATCCATCCCGCTCGCTGTCATGGCTTCTTTGCTCTTTGGGGCACTGGGGGGCGGGGAAATATATATTTTTTCTTTATTCCCCCCCCCCAAAAAATAAGTGCGCCCTATGGGCCGGTGCGCCCTATAGGGTGAAAAATACGGTAGTTAGGAGGGCCCGTCACTTAGTTGTAGTTCTTGCAGCCCAGCTCATTCTTTTGGGATGCTGATGAGGACATTTGAGTGGCTAGTTAAGGTCACTGTCTTACAAAGAAACCTCCCTGTTTAGTTCAACAACCTCTTCTTTATGATTGTAACCCTCACTTGGGTACAGAACCCCAAGAATTGGAAGGGACTCATGGCATCATCCAGACTGACACCCCCCCCAAAAAAATCCAGAAAAATATTTAATTGAAAATACATGTGATTGGGATGTTTTCTTTCTTTTCTCAAGGGGTGGGGGATGGTAGAGAAATGCTGACTGCTCCAGCATTACTTAGTTCCAATGGCTGCTAAATTTGACAGCCACTGCAGTTTGCAAAACACTTTCCTTAGTGGCAGCCCTCCAGGGCAAGGACACCCTCAACTTCCCCATCTTGAGCAGCTGTGTTGCTATCCTTGAAGAAAAGTCTGTGCGGGGTGGGTGGGTTGCATTGCATACGGAGAACAAGATCTGAGAGTGACTCAGCTGTGCAAAAGCACATGCATCATTTTTTCATTATATCAGCAGCGCTGGCTCCAGAGCTCTGATAGCCTTTGCGCAAAGCATCGCCACTGCACGCTTTTAACCTGGAAAGTGTGTCTATTTCATGCCGACACCATGCCTTGCAAAGTGAGAAGGGTAGTCCTGTGGTGTGGTGCCCAGTGAAAGACTTTCTTGGTCCTGGGTGCCTTGAAAACACCTGAATCTGGCATCTGTTAGAGCCAGCCTTGCTCCTCAGATTGCGATGACTTACAATTATAGAATTGTAGAGTTTGAGGGGATCCTGAGAGTCATCTAGTCAGGAATCTCAACTAAAGAATGCATGTCAGATGGTCACTAAACCCTCTGCTTAAAAACTTCCAATGAAGGAGTGTCCACCACCTTCTGAGGGTGTCTGTTCCACAGTCAAACAGCTCTCACGGTAAGAAAGTTCTTCTTGTTTAGTCAGAATCTCCTTTCTTGTAACTTGAATCTATTGGTTTGTGTCCTACCCTCCAGAACAAGAAGAAACCTTCCTCCACCTTCCTTTTGACAGCTATTTAGATATTTGAAGATGGCTATCATATCTTCTCTCAGTGTCTTCTTTTCCAGGCAAAACATACCCAATTCCCTCTACTGTTCCTCATAAAGCTTCATTTCCTTGATTATTGCAATGTGGTCTCATATTTTGACTTGAGTTCTGCATACACCCTTCAATCCTTTTGGGTCTGTTTTCTGTTAAAGGAATGAACATTAAGCAGTATGGACCAAATAAAAAAAAGTCCAAAGTTGTGGTTTAAGAACATCAGAAGAGCCTGGCTGCTGTATGAGACCAAATTGCAATCTAGTTCAGTATTAGGGTTGTCAAGCCAGCAGTATCCTAGACCTGAGATTTCAGGGCCAAAACCTGAGACCTAGGGACAGTCGCTGGTGGTGTCATGGGGGAAGTCCCTGGAGACAGATTAATTGGGAGAGGAGAGCAGAGGGGGACTAGGCTGCAGCTTGTAAGTTGCATACTGAGTCTTTATTATTATTATTATTATTATTATTATTACTACACTGGATGCTTGGGTTGTGAACGTGATCTGTGCAGGATGCAGGTTCGCACCCGCAGCGTTCGCAACCCGCGTCTGTGCACGCGTGGGTTGCGATTTGGCGCTTCTGCGTATGCGCAAAGCGCAATTTAGCGCTTCTGTGCATGTGCGACCGCCGAAACCTGGAAGTAACCCGTTCCGGTACTTCCGGGTTTCGGCGGTCCGTAACCCAAAAAAATGCAACCTGAAGCGTCTGTAAACCAAGGTATGACTGTATTATTATTATTAAAGGCAATCTTGCACACCTGGGAATCCAAGCCCTCCTCCTGGAGGGGACCAGGCAAACCTGGAGACTAAGTCAGCCATGGAGGTCTGGCAACCCTATATAGTATCCAGTTGTCACAGTAGCCAACCAGAATATCTATGGCATGAATGGAGCAGCCCTTCTCTCACTTGTGACTTTTGCTTTGGGAACCTTGATAGCCTGGAGAAGTTTATCGTGCTGCAAAAGTTGCAGCTTTTCGTGCTGCAAAACCAAAAAGTCCCCCAATTCTGAGTTCAAAGGACAGTGTGCAGAACTAGCGTATTTTCTCACCCACCCACCCCCACAAGAAGCAGGAGGGTTATTAATCCAAGATGGCACTAGGTTTGTCTCTAACAATTCTAACCATCTAGATGCTTTCAGGCTGTGACCTTTGGTTGTTCTATAAATATGACCCTGCAAGAATGTATATAATAACAAGATGGAAACAGCTTCAATTGTTGTTTTGAAAGATTGTGCCAGCAAAAAACATTTGCCATATCATGTCCCTTTCAGGAGGTCAGCTGCCAGATTGTTATTGAGAACTGGCCTTGATTTTTTAAAGTAAGGTTCCGGATAAGCCTAGGAGGTTACAGGACAATTACTCTGGTCCCCCCCCGTCCTGCCAACCCAATAATTGGCCAAGTCAGATGCATGAGTGAAAACTAGCTACAACTTTACTGACAGACATACCCCCACCCGGCGGGGGCCTGGGGGCCTGGCATAATGTTGAATTTGGTTCTGTTGACCAAAAGGATTTCCAGCCCAAGTCTGACCATCCCAATTCCTCCACAAGAGGAAAGAAGTGGCTGGTCCTTTTAAAGGTTCTACCACCCTGCCCATTTGCAAGCTGTGAAAGATGCTTGGGCCCCAAGATCTCATGAGAAGTGTCTTCTTTTGCTGTGGCATCTACCACACTGCCCAGCAAACCAATCTGACAGCTTAGCTGGGCCAAGAGTTAATGCAAGAACACAAGAGTCAGAGAGGAAGGTTGTAGTGAAGAAGCTACCAGGTTAAGACAGAAGCTTTCGAGCACATAAGAACTGCAGAAGAGTCCTGCTGAATCAGGCCAATGGCCCATCTAGTCCTATGTCCTGTCTTCACATTTGCCGATCAGATGCCCCTATGGGAAACCCAAAAGCAGGACTTGAGCGTAATTTATGGAAACTGGCATTCAGAAGCATTGCTGCCCTCCTGCTGTGGAGGGCCGAGCAAAGCCATCCTGGCTAGTAGCCACCCACAGCCCTCTCCTCCTCCATGAATTTGTCTAACCAACTTTGCCTTTCTGAGAGGGGATGTGAACGGATTGGTTAATATAAGCATTTTATATGCATTAATAATAATAATAATAATAATAATAATAATAATAATAATAAATTATATTTATACCCCGCCCTCCCCAGCCAAAGCCGGGCTCAGGGTGGCTAACAACCAATAATAAAAACGACTTGAATGAATACAACTTAAAAACAAGATTAAAATACAACATTAAAACATTAAAACAATTAAAATACAGCCTCATCACAGAAGGAGAAAGGAAAAAGAAAGGAGGGGGGAATCAAATTGACTCCAAGCCAAAGGCTGTCTTACAGGCCCCGCGGAAAGAAATCAGATCCTGCAGGGCCCTGGTCTCATGAGGCAGAGTGTTCCACCAGGCCGGAGCCAGTGTTGAAAAGGCCCTGGCTCTGGTTGAGGCTAATCTAACTTCCTTAGGGCCCGGGACCACTAGGGTGTTGCTATTTATGGACCTTGAGGCTCTCCGTGGGGCATACTGGGAGAGGCGGTCTCGTAGGTACGAGGGTCCTAGGCCATGAAGGGCTTTAAAGGTCAAAACCAGCACCTTAAATCTGACCCTGTACTCCACCGGGAGCCAGTGCAGCTGGAAAAGCACTGGGTGAATATGCTCCCAGGACAGAGACCCCGTGAGGAGCCTCGCTGCAGCATTCTGCACCCGCTGGAGTTTCTGGGACAGCTTCAAGGGCAGCCCTGAGTAGAGCAAATTATAGTAGTCAAGCCTGGAGGTGACTGCCACATGGATCACTGTGGCCAGGTCAGGGTGGGAAAGGTAAGGGACCAACTGCTTGATGCGGCGAAGGTGGCAAAATGTCGCCTTGGCTGTTGCTGTAACCTGTGCCTCCATAGCATTTCTGTCAGAGAAAGTATAGGTCTATTCTATTTTAAGGGTTCCCAAAATTAAGAAAGGCTCTCAGGTTGGATGTGTTGATATACAAAGCCCTAAACAACCTTGGCCCAGTGTACCTTAAAGACCACCTGAGCCTTTATATCCCAGTTAGTCAGAGCTTATCTGGAAGAGGACTGTTACTTGTCCCCACACCAGGGTTACTGTCCCCACACCAGAGATTTGGAAGACATCCTCAATGTTGACTTTCAGGCATCTCTTGGATGCCTGACAACAGGACTTTGTAGCTGCTTAATTTTTCGATTTTTTATTAGCCACTCACTTTGTTTTTAATGGTGTTTTTTGCTTTAATGCTGCACACTGTGCTGATATTTTCTGTTCACCCACTATGAACAGAGTATGGAAGGATTCCCTGGGTGGCTGTTCACACCTCTGAAATACTACATAGGACAAAGGGTAGTACATAAATGTTTCTAAATAACAAAGGCCACATCTGCACCAGACATTTAAAACACTTTAGACCATTTTAACAGTAGTATAAGAGAACATGGCTTCCCAGAAAGCATTCTGGGAGCTGTAGTTTGTTAAGGGTGCTGGGAGTTGTTATGAAGCCCCTATTTCCCTCCCAGAACTATAGTTCCCAGAGTGCTTTAACAGCCAATCCCTCTTCTCAGGGAGATCTGGGAACTATAGTTCTTGCAGGGGGAGTAGGAGTCTTCTCACAACTCTCAGCGCCCTGAGCAAACTACAGTTCCCAGGATCATTGGGAGGAAGCCATGAGTGTTTAAAAGTGGTGTCATAAAGCTTTAAATGTGTGGGGCAGATGTGGCCTCTGAAAGACATCAGCTGATCCAGGCTGCACCTATAAATACCCACCATGATTCTCGCCCGCCCCTTCAACTCCCTTTCTGAACCTGACACTCAACAGGCCTGCTCCATTGTATCAGCAGAAGGCCTCAGACCTGACAGTGGCACTATGATGCCCTCAGAGGTCACAGAACCATTTCACAAAGCAGAAAACATAGGCAGGCAGACATAAAAAGGCAGGCAGACACAGCATGTCCTCACACTCCCCAGCCCCTAGTCTGCATCCTCTGTTTCTCTTCCCTGCTCCCCAACTACCTACCTACCGTATTTTTCGCTCTATAAGACGCACCCGACCATAAGACGCACCTAGTTTTTAGAGGAGGAAAACAAGAAAAAAAAACTCTCCCTCTCTGCAGAGCGCGTCTTCAGCAAAGTGGGAGGAGAAATGGAAGGGGCTCCGTTTCTCCTCCCGCTTCATTGAAGGGGCGCTGCGCAGCTCTCCCTCTCTGCGCAGTGCCATTTGCTCCATAAGACGCACACACATTTCCCCTTACTTTTTAGGAGGAAAAAAGTGTGTCTTATGGAGCGAAAAATATGGTACTTTTCTTCAGTTGCAGGGGTCGACAAGGTTTACCTCACCTAAGCCGGTTCACTCCAATGGAGATCCCTCTGTGGGCCAGATCGCGCACTCACGGCCGCGATTTCCAGCATCTGCGCAGACATGATTTCCAGTGTCTGCGTCTGCATAGACGCAATTTTCGGCATCTGAGCATGCGCAGACACGATTTCTGGCACTACGGAAGTGAGTCCCCGCACCGTGCTGCGTCAGTTTAGCGCAACGCACAGGGACTCGCCGAACAGGAGGCTCGGTTTGGGGGTGGCTTGGGGGCCAGTTAAACGACTCCCGTGGGCCGCTTGTGGCCCATGGGCCTTAGGTTGCCTACCCCTGAATTAAGGCCACATCCACCCTATGTGTTTAAAACATTATAATCCCACTAAAATTATCACTTAAATGTTTGCTGCCTTGGGCTCCATGGGGTGGATATAAATCATAACACTTAAAAATAAATCAATTAAATGTGTTCAGTTTCTATGGAACTGACAAGGCTTTTTGTGCTTGAATTTTTAGTTCTAAATGTGCAGTTCAGGTGTCGAAGTCTCTCAGCCCATTTAGGGTTACCCTGAAACTTGCAAACTTAGCAAATATACATAAAATGTGAGCAGAAGGAGAGGATGCAAAAAATGGAGAGGCGGGGGGGAGAAGTGTGTGTTGGAAAAAAACATCTGATTTTAAAACAAAGTTCTTTCTAAAGGTCATGCAGAAATCGAGACATAACTATTACAAGGTTCTTCCAAATAAACCCTTGCGCCTGCAAACAAGTGCATTTTTTTCTTCCATTCATTGCAAAGGTGATGATACTGCTTTCCCTTGTTTTTTAATTATAATCAACCAGCTTACTCCAATAATGTCCTTGATGTATTCAGCCAATTGGAAAATGCCCCTCCTTTCTTTTCCTTTTTGAACAGAAAAGGGGGGACGAAGGTACCCTGGCAATGGTATAAAAATCTGTGATACACTGATGCAGTTGTCCGGTTCGTAGGGAGCAGAGAGAGGGAAGTTTTGTTCACTGCACCCTTGAAAGATTCAGTTCCTTACTAGTCAGCACAGAGTGAGGAGCAGTCAGAGTAATCAGTCTCTGGCAATCATGGCCAAGGTAGCTTGGCTGTGGTTTCTGCTGCTTTCACCCACTATCCATGGAAAAGGTAAGTCCTTTCAGGATGAAATTTTAATATTGTTTAAATGAGATGTACAATACTTCGTTCTTCAGAACTCATAAGAGTAACAATCAGGGCTGCAATGTTTCATTTTTTAGATTGAAACTTTTAAAGGTTTTTAACTTTTTATGCTTTTAATGTATAGTTTCATGGCTTTATTGCTGTAAGCTGCTTTGATTTTTTTATGATGCAGAAATATACTCAGGCTTTTTAAAATATAAATAAACCAATAAGCTAAATAATGTGCCACACAATTAACCAGTGGCAGACTTTTAAAAAATATTATCTTTAATACACAGAGATGAGTGAAGCTGCCACTTTTGCATTTCCATGTCAATTTGTAATTCCCCCCCCCTTCAAATCCACATGAAAATTAATCAGCATTTCAGTGAGAATTTATCCTAATATATACATGTTTGTGTGCATTTATATACATTTCTGTGCACATCTTACCACAGCATATGCAGTTCTGTTTGCATTACTTGGATGGAGAACTGCAGGGTTCAGAGAAGTGTGGATTTAAAAGGATGGCTGTATTTTGATTAACATATTGTTTCAGAAAGTTAGGGAGGTTTGCCTTTAACTGAGGACTGAATCCGATCTCTCCGGCTTCACTATTAATGCAACAACTCATTATAAAAGCAGCCTTGAGACATTTATCCTTCCACTTTGGAATGTTTCTTCTTAACTGATGCCTCCCGCTACGGCAACCTGTGTCTCATCTGTAAAGTTGTTGCTTGGATTCAGAACTAGGCATGGATTGGAAGACAGTAAAGCCGTCTTCCGCAGATTGTGTGTTGCAACTGAAATGTGTGGTGTTGCTCTGTTGCATTGTTGTGAGGAAGAGGCAGAAAATTTCACTGTTTGCTTAATCACTCCTGGCTATATATTATGGCTTTGATTAAATTACACAAAACAAGAAAACTTCCAAAGAAGTTGTAGAACATTTTGTATGCTTCTTTTCTGTAAATCTGCCTAGGCACTTAAGTGACTGCAATTGATCTGATGGTTTTATGCCACTCTACATTTGCTGTACCTTTAAAATTTTGCAAGGCTTTTCATCCTTTTAATTCTGTCCTCTCATTCACATTTACTACATAAGCCAAATGTCATTCTTTGATATGTTTAAGAAAGAAGTATGAAGTGTTTAGCATGTCATGGGGGCTTGAACAGGTGGATGGAACAGGTGTGGTTTTCAAAATGTAGCAGATGCCGTAATCTTGCATAATCTTAGCTTCGTGCCAAATTACTTATGATGTTGTTTTCTGGCATTGTTTTTATAGAAATGTATTTCTTAGTTGCTTTGAGCTCAACATTTGTTGCCGGAAAAGCAGAGTTTAAATATTAAATTAATTACTCGGAATCAGAGGCAGTAGTGCTGTTGCACCCCAGGTCCTTCTTGTGGGCTTCCCATTGAGGCATTTAGCTGGGCATTATGATAATGTGATGCTGGACTAGATGGGCCCATGGCCTGATCCAGCTCTTGTTGTGTACTTATGGTAAATAAGCCTTGTGCAAGACCTCTGTATTTATTTAATTTTAAAAGGTAACTGAACCTCTCGTCTTGCGTCTTTGGTTTCATAAGTGTTCTGGTTGTTAGTTGCCTATTACCTTCTCCGGCAGGTGGCTTCAGAGGTCAGTTGGTGTCTCTTTATGCAAGGAGGTGTCTGTTATTAGCTCTTTATGCCTGTCTACAAGCCACAAATGGCTACGTGCTAACTTCATTGTCAGAGGCAGGTTCTGCTTGTGGGCCTCCTGCTTGTGAGCCTTGTGTGCAAAAGATGGCAGGTTCAGCCCTTAATAGGGCTCGGAAAGGCACCTGTATGAAAAACCCCCCAACCCCCAGTTTTCTTTCAAGAGAGAAGTGCTTGCATGAGCTTTACAACCCAGGTTGGGGGGGGGTTACTGCTGTTTATGGTAAGCACTGTTAAGAAAATGCCTGGGAAGAGGGCACTTTGGCGCTATTTTCTCTCTCTGACAGGGCCAGCATGAGCATAGCCAGGATTTATGTTGGGGGGGGGAGGCCTCAGTTAAGTATTTTTATTGATTTACTTGATTTGGGGGGCCAAGCTATTTGCCCACGCTCATGTGGGGGGGGGCGAGCCTCAGTTAAGCATTTTTATTGATTTACTTGATTTGGGGGGGCAGCCCACTTGGCTATGCTCATGTTGCGGGCGAGCCTCAGTTAAGCATTTTTATTGATTTACTTGATTTGGGGGCGCAAGCTCCTTGGCCACGCTCATGTTGGGGGGGGAGCCTCAGTTAAGCATTTTTATTGATTTACTTGATTTGGGGGGGCAAGCTCCTTGGCCACGCTCATGTTGGGGGGGGAGCCTCAGTTAAGTGTTTTTATTGATTTACTTGATTTGGGGGGGCAGCCCCCTTGGCAACGCTCATGTTGCGGGCGAGCCTCAGTTAAGTATTTTTATTGATTTACTTGATTTGGGGGGGGCAAGCTATTTGCCCACGCTCATGTTGGGGGGGGAGCCTCAGTTAAGTATTTTTATTGATTTACTTGATTTGGGGGGGCAAGCTCCTTGGCCACGCTCATGTTGGGGGGGGAGCCTCAGTTAAGCATTTTTATTGATTTACTTGATTTGGGGGGGGCAAGCTATTTGCCCACGCTCATGTTGGGGGGGGAGCCTCAGTTAAGTATTTTTATTGATTTACTTGATTTGGGGGGGGCAAGCTATTTGCCCACGCTCATGTTGGGGGGGGAGCCTCAGTTAAGTATTTTTATTGATTTACTTGATTTGGGGGGGGCAAGCAATTTGCCCACGCTCATGTTGGGGGGGGAGCCTCAGTTAAGTATTTTTATTGATTTACTTGATTTGGGGGGGGCAAGCTATTTGCCCACGCTCATGTTGGGGGGGGAGCCTCAGTTAAGTATTTTTATTGATTTACTTGATTTGGGGGGGGCAAGCTATTTGCCCACGCTCATGTTGGGGGGGGGAGCCACAGTTAAGAATTTTTATTGATTTAATGGATGTGGGGGCAAGCTATTTGCCCACGCTCATGTTGGGGGAGCCTCAGTTAAGTATTTTTATTGATTTACTTGATTTGGGCCTTGGCCACGCTCATGTTGGGGGGGGGAGCCTCAGTTAAGCATTTTTATTGATTTACTTGATTTGGGGGGGGCAAGCTATTTGCCCACGCTCATGTTGGGGGGGGGGGAGCCTCAGTTAAGTGATGTTATTGATTTACGTGATTTGGGGGCAAGCTCCTTGGCCACGCTCATGTTGGGGGAGCCTCAGTTAAGTGTTTTTATTGATTTACTTGATTTGGGGGGGCAGCCCCCTTGGCCACGCTCATGTTGGGGGGGGAGCCTCAGTTAAGTATTTTTATTGATTTACTTGATTTGGGGGGGCAAGCTCCTTGGCCACGCTCATGTTGGGGGGGGGAGCCTCAGTTAAGTGTTTTTATTGATTTACTTGATTTGGGGGGGCAGCCCCCTTGGCCACGCTCATGTTGGGGGGGGAGCCTCAGTTAAGTATTTTTATTGATTTACTTGATTTGGGGGGGCAGCCCCCTTGGCCACGCCCATGCGGGCTAATGCTCTGATCTGGTAGACAATATTGTTACTGGCCCCCCATTCTCCGAGCAGCGAGAGCCTCCAGGGGTTCCTGTGCTTACCCAGGTTTAGTTTCCTTGGAATGAAGGCCAGCGGAGACTGTGATGTCTTTAGGATATATAGGTTTATTTACATGTGTATTACAGGTACAGCGTGAGCAAAAGATGAAAGCACTTACCGCATTAATGCTGCAGCAGATCTGGTATTAGGTTTCCAAAGAAGCCTCAAGTCACAGTTTTGGATCCAACACCGAACAACACATGTCTCTATGTCTGAGGCTTCCTAAATCAACGACGGCTCACACACAGCCCCACAATAGGATGTTGTTCTTCATCCTAGGATGACAGTGGTATCCAGCAGAGGAAAAGGCCCACTCATTTGTCTGTGTGTGTTTAAATAAATAAACAAACAAATAAATAAAATTGATTTGCTGGACCAGATTCTTCAATTCACTTTAATTGCACTGGCCTAAATTTCTGGCAGGACACAGGTGGCGCTATGGGTTAAACCACAGAGCCTAGGACTTGCTGATCAGAAGGTCGGCGGTTCGAATCCCCGCGACGGGGTGAGCTCCCATTGCTCGGTCCCTGCTCCTGCCAACCTAGCAGTTCAAAAGCACGTACCGCTCTGGCGGGAAGGTAAACGGCATTTCCGTGTGCTGTTCTGGTTCTCCAGAAGCAACTTAGTCATGCTGGCTACATGACCCAGAAGCTGTACGCTGGCTCCTCGGCCAATAAAGCGAGATGAGTGCCGCAACCCCAGAGTCAGCCACGACTGGACCTAATGGTCAGGGGTCCCTTTACTTTTACAAATTTCTGGCATATCAATCAATCGGTCCTGTGAAATAATATAATAACCTTCTGTTTATCTTGCTGCTCCCCTAGTTGTTCTGGATTTGACTGGCCCACATGAGACCCATGGCACTTGGAGGGCTTCGGTCACTTTGCCATGTTTGTATGACCCATCTCCTGACTTCCTGGAACAAAGTGTTGTTTGGAGGCAGCGGGATCATCACAATAGAGCCATCTTTCACCGGGATAATGACTCAGGGGACCAAACACCTGTGGCACATTTCAGAGACCGACTCACCGTTCCTAAGCAACCCCTGGGAGATGTCTCCCTCCTGATCCACGATCTTGACATGGCAGATAGAGGGCGATATGGCTGTGAAGTTACCTTCCTGACCAAAAACAATACCAGGGTAACAATATCAAGGATCATCATACTGAAGGTTAAAAAAGGTAACCTGCATTAATATGCTGAGAAGGCTGCATGGTTAAAAATGCAATATATATGTGTATATATATATATTTAAGTTGCATAGTATCATTTTCTATTTTGTTTATTCAGAGAATGTATGGTTTGCTTTTTATTAAAGATTCTCAAGCAGGATTTTAAAAATGTGAAGAAAGAAGAAAATATAGCTTTGCTTTCACCATTCAGGTGCTCAGCTGCTTCTTTGCAAGGTGCCTTGGTGACAGATGGGACTGGCTTTAAAAGAGGATTAGGCAAATTCAGGGGGGAGAGGGCTATCAGTGGCTACTAGCTACAATGCTCAGCTCTGCCTTCTCAGTTGGAGGCAGCAGTGCTTCTTTCTGATAACCAGTTGCTGGGAACCACAGGAGGGGTGAGTACTGTTGTGCTTGGACCCTACTTGCAGGTTTCTCAGAAGAGGCATCTGTTTGGCCACTGTGAGAACAGGATGCTGGACTAGATGGGCCTAATCCAGAAGGGTTCTTCTTATGTTCTAAATGGAGGGAGGGGACAGGTCCCCAAGCTTTTTATCAATTGTGAAAAGAGGTAGAACCTTGAGGATCACATTCTCCTTGAACCTTACAATTCCAAAGTATCTTCAGTCATCTTCCTTTACTTTCCTCGCATTCTGTGTCTGCTTAGAGCTGTGCAAGCACCAAATTTGCTGCAGGTGTTTGATAAGTATGTTTTGCTTCCCAGTTCCAGTGGCCAAGCCTGTCATTAAGGCCACCAACAATGATGAGACAAGCTTGCCTGGTGTGATGAGGTTCAACCTGTCGTGCTTGACCAGCGGCTCTCCGCCCATCACTTACCGCTGGTTCAAACAAGTGGAAGGAAGCAATGCAACCCTTGTGGGCAAGGAAGCCGTACTTGCCTTTGACCGGCTGGAGGCATCAGATGCTGGCAGATACTACTGTGAAGTTGAAAACAGGGTCAACAAGCAGATCCAGCAGAGTAGAGCTATTCGGATAAACGTGCAAAGTAAGAGCATCCAACAACCTCTGCTATGCAAAGATCCACAATGTAGCTCCAGAGTGATTTAGTTTTAGGAAACCCAGTTCATTCATTTATTCAAATAATAATAATATTTAATTAAAAATGCAGTAAAATGGCTACATACAAATTCAAGAAAACCCGAATACAGCACAAAGCAATACATAGTGTAACAATAGCCTCTCCAAAGCAGCTAACCCGCCCCCCCCCCCCCAATTTATAACAATCAGTTTTGTCCAGGCTTGGCCTCTGTGTTAAGAGCTCCAGTATCTGAAATTCTTTGCATGAAATAGATAGATTTTATTCTATTTTATTTGACAAATTTATAAACTACATTTTAAAAACATACCAGAGCAGTGTACAATAATCAAAACCACAGTACACAATAAAACAATGTGTTCTGCTCCTTAGTTTCCCTTAGGCATTTGGCTGGCCACTGTGAAAACAGGGTGCTGAACTAGATGGGCCATTGGCCTGATTCAGCAGACTCTTCTTACGTTCTTACTTTCTTAACATAAAATTCAGTTCAGAAAGATCAATAAGGCAGAAGGCTACAATCCTGTATCTAAAAAACAAAGGACAAGTGTGAATTGGGAGCCCACAGCATTTTAACTCTTACCTGCCCATTAAGTTCCTAGGGAAGCCCCAAGTCACAGCTTTGGGTCTTGCGTACAGCAGACACATCCCTGCTTCTGCAGCTTCCAAGATCAGCCAAAACTCTCTCTCACACAGAGTTCCCCATCTTTGATTGATATGGCATCCCACCAGGTGATGTGGAAAAAAGCCTACCCACTTGTCTCTATGGCAGCCTCCTACAACATGTAAATGGCAGTACTTAACTGACCAGCCAAGGCCATTACCTTAACAGAAAGACTAGTTTGATGGGTTCAGCAGGTTTCCTGTCCTAGATTTGCACTCTACACATACACAGGATTGCAGGTTTGGAAGGGACCCACAGGTATCATCCGGACTGACCCCACCCCACCCCCCAAAAAACAACCCTTTGCAGTATGTTAGCTGCCCTGTAAAACACCAGTTACATTGATGGTGCAAGATACATATTAGAAGGAATAAAAGCTGTGGAATACCAACAGTTATTAAGCACTATCAGTGCATCTAGTGATTATCAGAATCTTACATGCAAAAAAGAACTGATCTGTTCTTCAGAAAAGGAGAGGGATGGAGAGAGAAAAATGCATTCTTGCTTTTGCTTGCAGGTTCTGCAGTGCCATCTACTTTGGGGCCTAGCACTGAGTTCGCAATGAGCACCACAGCTGTGGCAGGTAAGCTGTCGCCAAATGATAGGCTGTTCAGTTTTGAGTTGTGGGTGGGAAATGCATGGGTGATTGAGGTGGGGTCGCCTGCTCCTCTGCCTGGCCTTCAACTGCTACAGCAGGCAGCATTTGCGGAATGCCCCCAGTTGTCCTTCTCCTGCTTTTGTCCGCTGTCCCCCCCCCCCCTTGTTGAAGGCATCCTCTAGTTGTCCACGTGGTCGTGGATGGAGGGGAAATAGAAATAGAAGGACTCCTTCACCCTGCAGCCTCAAAAAGTGACCCTGTAAACTCAACTCGTCTCTAGTTGTGTATCAAGTGTGAGGAGGCGGAAGCCCAATCTAGACAGCAAAGGGGTGTAGGGATGAGGGATGCCAAAACCTTCCCAGTGCCTTGCAATGCCACACCACAGCACTTCCCAGGGCATGGTTTTCTCCCAGCTGAGTCCTGCCGAGAGAACAGTGGCCCTGGGGGACAAGAGTGCATGTGGGGAAGGCACAGTATGGGGACGTATCTCTAATATTCTCACAGATGCCACCAGCACGGCTTGGATGGTGTTCGGAGGAAGAACTACATCTGGCAGCTTCAACTCAAGAGAGCTCACCGTGGCAAAACGTGAGGAACATTAGTGTGGCCTTCCTGTTATTTTAGACTGCTGGAGGAGGACAACCTGAATTCCCGGGGAGGGGAATGTGCAATGCGGCAACTCTTTAGGTTTACTGGGAAAGCTCTGGGGTTCACTGCAAAAAATTCTCTGCTCAGGGGCCTTTCCAGGCAATGTCAGAATCCTTCTCAATGGCTCTAGTCATCCTTTCCTTCTCTCTGAGTGCCAAGCACCCAGAAGTCTGCTTCTGTCCCTAAGGCTCGTTCGCAAACTAGGAGACTGTGTTGGCAGTGGGGCCTTGGCTCCTCCCCCTGGGTTGGCCCTTGAGCATAGATGTACTGATAAAGTAGCAAGTGACAGGTAAAGTTTACCTCATTACAGGGGCTAGCATTTTCAGCTCCAAAAACTAGCCAAGCTGTACAGTACTGTGGGGCTTTCATTGCCTCTTTAGGACTCAACTTGAGGAAGAGGATACTCTCACTAGCAGCCAGGAATGTTTTTCTGCACCCACAGAAGCACAAGCGTCATTTCCTCCAGAGCAGACACACTGACATGGGTCGACCTGAATTAGTCCTGTTCATACCTTTCAGTGGGTCGTCTCTGAATAGGGCTAACATGGAATACAAATGTACTAGTAACTGATGTATCCCGGCTCAAAGATGTGTTCCAAAAAAGATCAGCTTCCTAAGTGGCCTACATATACCTTGACTGCTGGTGGGAGTTCCCAGTTTTGAGGAACATTTGTGCACTGTCATTTCCAGAGGGAGAGGGAGAATTTACATTTTTATTTCATTTAGGGCTCATCCAGACTTAACTTTCATCCTGCACTTTCTAGGCACAGGTCCATGGTTTCCTGGTTTGTGTTTGAACATGTGGGGGGGGTGTTTTTGGTGCCCCACCGCTTTCCACAGGAAAACCCGATATTTACTGCTGAATTGGAGCAAGCAGCTATTCAGATTTCCTGCTCCAATTCGGTGGTAAAGAGCTGATTTTCATGGAGAAAGTGCTGGGGCAAAAAGAAGAAGACCCTGTCCGACATGAGCCTGTTTCTAAAGGTCACCCCAGTTGACACGCCAGCAGAAGTACCCAACATCTCAACCCTTAAGTCTTTTGTGTAGCTCCAGAGATGAAATTCACCCTGTGAATACACTGGGGTGGGCTGGGAAGTTCTAACAGCTGCTGCATAGATTCTCCTCCAGCCTTGCTTCAGTTGCTCTTTGGGTGAAAGCCGGTCACCTTTCTGCTGACGCAGCATCTTTGCCTTGATTTGCAGGTCCAGCTACAACTTCAACACCAGCAGCTATGACAGCGTCTACTACAGGGAAGCCTTTACCAGCGCCAACTGGTAAAGACCGCACTTGATAGCAAAGTGAGGGAAAAGGAGGAAGTGAAGTTGCCTGTGTGGCAGGCTTGAAGGTGGCAGAATTCAGGCTGCAAGTTGGAAGTGCCATTTTTGAATGCATCCCCCATTAGTGGGGGGACAGACTCGCTAAAAGTATTTTGGTTTTTTTAACCAAACCCCTTACATACTAGGGAGTACAGGAAAGTTAGGCTCCAACCCTTTGCCTGCCACTTTTCATGATACTTTTAACATGGGAAAGGATTTAAAATGTTTTGATTCCCCTTCAAGGTGAAGTCCTGTGACCTATTCTCAGAACTAGGGATTGGGAAGAATTTAAATTTAGTTCACATTTAAAGGAAGTTGTATCAAATCCACACTTTTCAAAACAGTGTGAGAACCTAAACAGTGTCACCCTACAAAATTCACCCTTTTCTGAATTTTGCGGTGTAGTTTTCCAAGCAGTGTTTACAAAAATGTATATATTTGGGGAACATGTGCATTAAAATGAACGTATCAGTATGAATAGACATACAAATATGTAAATCTCATCCTTTGCTGTGTTGTCCTAGGGTCCAAGATGTCAACTTTCGCCATCATCATGCTTGTTCTGCTCACCTTTGTTCTCACTGGTATTCTTACGTGTATTGTCTGCTACAGAATACATGGAACTGGTGAGTGAGTTAGATTTCACTCAGAAAACAATGGCTTCTCTGATTCGACAGAGTGAAATGATATATGAAGAACTGAAGGGAGGGACTCTGCTGCATTAGTCCTCAGGACCAGGGTGGGTGAACCAGGGTGAAGGTTTTAGGAACCCTATCTATGGGACTAGTGAACTGCAGGTAGTTCTGAGCATAACTTTGTACATCCCTCCCGAAGCTACGTGCTTGGTGGAAAAGGACGACCATGCCAGACAGAAAGAGTGTTTATAGGCCATTTTGCCTAAGAGCTGCACCAGTGCCCCCCTGCCACATACAGAACAACACAGCAGCTGTATGTGTTTTCCCCTTGTTGGGATTAGGGTATAAGCTGCACTTCTGTTGTTCATCTGATATTACTTGTTACATTTTTAACAAAAGCTGTTTGCAGTTTTGAAATGATTGTACTTTTCTGGAGGGACATTTGCTCATAAAGTTCTGCTGTTTGTTTTTTGTATTTCAGGTGACGGCTTTCCAATTTCATAGTAAGTGATTATCTGATTATTTAGGGGTTGTAGAACTGACATGGCAGCATATTGGAAAGATGAATATGAATAAGTGAAAAGGACCTGAAATATAAATGCTACACTGCATATGTGTTGTGGTAGGAGGAGGGTGAATGAGAAGTAGGTCTCATCCAGAATGGCCAGATTCAGGGCTGATTATCCAAAAAGATGTGGTTAGGGCACTAGCAAAGCAGGGGTACCCAAAAAGTGACCATTTTGTTTGTGTGTGTGTTTTTGGGAGGGGAATGACCTTTGATGTTTTAAAGAAAAAATATTGAGGTGGTCATGGGAAAAATCAGAACTTTGCTAGTCTTCCTTACACTCTACTCGTACTCTTCTTGATTTTTCTTTTCTCTTTTTTATTTTGAACTTATTTTGAACTACATATTGGGGAGAGCACCATAATCTTTTCAGTGCTCAGGGCCTCTGGCAGTCCTAATCCAGCCTCAGCCAGATGTCACCAGTGGGCTCAGCAGATCCCCTGCTTTTGCAAAGGACATAAACTATTGGATCAGATATTTGGGCTAAAATCTAGGAACTCTTTAAAACAAGAGTAGACACTTCCAGCAAATCAGGTCTTGCTCAGTGGCTTGACAAGCTCCCTGATTCGTGTTTTTTTTTGGCAGTGGCATAAGTTCCGCTACCACTAGAAAAATAAAAGTGTGCAAAATGACAGCAAGAACCACACAACTCCATACAGCAAGTGAGCCTCCTATCTCCTTAGAAAACATGGATAGAATAGTGGTATGTTGTGAGTGGAAAGTGGCCAAATGTTAATCTTTGCACTTGTTTAAAAGTTGAAGCATGGATTTCAGAAGCAGACTGTGCACATTGGAAAGGCTGAAACAGGACATAGGAAGCTGTGCAAAGAGACCATCTAACTGCAGAAATGCCAATCTGTCTTTGAAGTTCCAGCCCTCCAAAGTACTTCGTTTTCTTTCCTTATGCCTATTGCAAGCCCTTGGTCTATTGACCTGATTCTCACCTTTTCCTTTCTGTTTCAGCTTCTGTATTACCAGAGGCACAGATGAAGACAGCGGTGATGACAACACAGGTGGAAGTGATGGGGACAACCCACATGACCTAGGAAGAAACAACAGGTGTGCATGTTCGTATGAGTACGAGTTACTGAACGGCAGTGCTGACAACAGCCGCATCCTGGCACCTATACTAGGCCTTGAGGAAGAGGCGATAGAACTCAAGACAGTCAATATGTATGAGGCCCTGGTCAATGAGTCAGATTCTGACATTGAAGTGCTAGATGCCCGCCTGTGAGGCGCCTTCCTTTTTCTTTTTTGCATTGATGAGAGCCAGAGTGGTGTATTGGTTAAGAGTGGTAGACTTGTAATCTGGTGAACCGGATTCATGTCTCCTCTCCTCCACATGCAGCTGCTGGGTAACCTTAGGCTAGTCACACTTCTTTGAAGTCTCTCAGCCCCACTTACCTCACAGAGTATTTGTTGTGAGGGAGGAAGGGAAAGGAGAATGTTAGCCGCTTTGAGACTCCTTCGGGTAGTGAGAAAGCGGGATATCAAATCCAAACTCTTCTTCTTCTCCTCAACCCAGCCATCATCAGGCTATTTTCCATATTGTTTCCAGAGGTAAAATTGTGCCACCATTTGGGCAAAGAGGCCATACATCTTGACTTTTGCTGACACACCCGGGATGCAATAAGAAAACGGACGCGAATTGAGAATTAGCAATTAAAAAAAGCTCAACAACATTGCACAAAAATTGGCCAAAGCTCAAAATTGATTCAATTTTTGAAAGATGGCAACCCTAGTTAAGTAGGGTGGAGTGTGGATCACAAAAGCAATGGCTTATGTTCAAGTGTGCTTCAGGAATGCATTGTCAGTTCTCTGCCTCAGAACTGCCCTGTATAAGGTGGAGGATAATCAGATTTTTTATATGCTAGTGGTGGTGGCAGCAGTGGTGGTGGTGGTAGTGGGTGTTGTGTTGTTCTTGTTGTTGTTCTTGTTGTTGTTCTTGTTGTGGTTGTGCTTGTGGTTGTTGTTGTTATTATTAATTTTATTAGTGATATTTTCTTTGCCAAAGCAGCTCATGTTCATTTCATTCAGTATCGCTGGTCTGGAAGACAATCAGACTGGTGCCTGTGTTGCTTTTTTAAAGGTTTGTGTCATTTACATCAATGGTCCTCAACCTTGACTCCCTTGACCAACTACATTCTTTCTGCGGCACCCCTGTGGGGCTCAGGAGCCCACTTATTTCACCCCTTGCCTGCAGAGCCAGCAGCCTCTCACCCCTCCCTTGTGGAGGGGTCCCTCAACATCCTCTCCTTTCCCCTCTCCTTGGGAGTCCTCCAGGCAGCCGCTCCTACTGCCTCTAGTCTCTGAGCTGCCCCCGCCCCAAAGAGAGGTGCCACCTCACACTGCCCCACAAGGGCCTGAGAAGAGGATGCCCCCGGCTTTAGTGGTCCAATGGAGATGAACATGAGACCAGCACCGTACTCACCTTGGGAGGCAGCAATGGGCGCTGCTTGCCCTCCATGGCAGAAAGGGCTTCCCTTCAGCCCTGGGCACTCAGCTTCCAGGCAGGCTTCGCACACAGCAAGTACAAGAAAATCCAGTGCAGCACCTGCCTGAACTGGCTGGCTGGGCTCCCTCGCACACTTGCTTGCTTATTCAGCTCCTGGCAGCCAGCATCCCCTGGCCAGCCCCAGAGGCACCATTCATCTGGGGAGCTTGTAGCCAGGGCTGCTGCAACAAACAGCTGCACAAGGCTTTGGGAGTCAGAGATGCGAGAGGGCATCAGAGGAGGGAGGGAAGGAAAGAGGGACAGAGGCCAGGGTTGCCCGCAGCACCCCTGACCATCATTCAAAGCACCCCAGGGTACCACGGCACACTCATTGAAAATCATTGATCCAAGCTATTTCATAATTCCCCCTTTGCTACACTTGGTGGGTGGGCTGTTCTTCTCTTGCATTGCCGTCACTTATAGATCTTATATTGTAAAGAGGCAATGCATGAGTTCCACTTGGAGGAGGGAGGATTACAATTTTTCTATCTATCTATTTGTGTGACAGAATGTTGGACTAGGACACTGGAGAGGCCACGGTTAAAATCCCTACCGGGCCTTGAAGCTCAAATGGGTGCCACAGGCCAGTCAAAGACCCTCAGCCAAACCTACTTCACAGTACTGTGAGGATGAAACGGCATGAGGGTGAAGTGTGTACGTCGTCTTGAGCTCCTCGGAGAAAATATATGTAACATGAATGCAGAAAAAAACCCAAAAAAATAAATAAAATTTGTTAAATTCACTGTTTGCCATATTTATATTGTGGTTCCCTATGCCCTTAAATTTGACCAAACTGCGGGAGGCAGTGGAAGACAGGAGTGCCTGGTGTGCTCTGGTCCATGGGGTCACGAAGAGTCGGACACGACTAAACAACTAAACAACAACAACAACATGCTCTTAAACAACAAAGCTTTAGATATGCTAAAGAGAGATGCCTTTGCTCAGCCTGACAGGGCTCCCAACCCTGAATTCACAAGGGGGGGGGGAACAAACCCATCTCATTTTCCTTGTTTTGGGTTTTCCTTAATGCCCTCTATTAGTTTTACCTCCCTGAATTCTTTTGCAGTATTGCTGTCATCCAGCAATGGGCCCAAACATACTCTTCATTGTGCTATAGCTACCTTCCCCAACCTGCTACCCTTCTGATATTTTGGGGATACAACCCCCAGGTTGGGCATGACTGCACTCTGGATTCTGCCCATCTTGTCTCCCCCTTTTTTTGCCTTCCTCCCCACCCCTTGATTTGCTGCCAGCCAAGCAGTTTGTGATCTGTTAGCTCCATAGCTGTCAACCATCCCTTATTTGGCGGGAAACTCCCTTATCCCAGCGCCGTTTCCCGCTGCTGTCCTGGATTGATGATATCCCTTAAATTTCCCGGGTTTCAAAGGAAGCAGCTCCTCTCCCTCTCTCCCTGATGGCCAGGGAGGAGAGAGGCTCCAACTGTGTTGCTTGGCTGCGTTGCTCACCCAATAAGGAGTCTAAGAACGACTGGGGGGTGGAGCTTGCATGCCTTGTGCTGATCAAATTGGCCGCGTTGCCTGGGGACTCGCCTTTGCTCAGCGCTTCCCAGCGGAGAGGTGACGGTCGTTTTCTTTCCTGCATCCCCTTTGCCGGGTTGCTGCGCTATAGGAACCACCACTTGAGCCTTCATTTGGCTGTTGGTTGACTAAAATCCCTTATTTTGGCTGCTGGTCCCTTATTTTCAAATCTGTAAGCTCCTCCCTCCCCAAGGTTGTATCAGGTGGATACAACCCCCCAAGTTGCTACACAAATTTGATGGTTCTGATTCTACACTTAGGGTGGCTGGGACTGTCTTCTGCTGCAACAACTAACAACCTTCCTTTGCCCGCCCCTGTGTCCTTTCCTTGCCTGTCTTGTCCTGCCTAAACATAGGAAGCCAACTGAATTAGGCAAATGGGAAATTGTCAGTCCAGTTTGGTCCACCACACTCAGTGCTATTTACTCTGACTGGCAGTTGCTCTCCAGAGTTTCAGGTAGGGCATATTCCCCAGACCTAACTGGAGACACCAAGGATTTAACCAGGACACTCTATATTCAGAGCAGGTGTTCTCCCACTGCATTATGGCACTTGAGATTTCCTCTGCAGCAGTGACCACTAGCAGCATCTGAGGAGAAGTAGGATAAAGGATAGAGCATGGGTCAGCAACCTTTTTCAGCTGTGGGCCAGTCCACCATCCCTCAGACCATGTGGTGGGCCAGGCTATATTTTTGGGGGGAGGGGTGAACGAATTCCTATGCCCCACAAATAACCCAGAGATGCATTTTAAATAAAAGGACACATTCCACTCATGTAAAAACACGCTGATTCCAGGATCATCCGCAGGCCAGATTGAGAAGGCGATTGGGCTGCATCCCAATCCCCTTAGGTTGCCTACCCCTGGGATAGAGCCTCAAGGAGTCTTGCAATGGGAAGAACTTAGAGGGGAGAAGTTTGGGCAGGGAAAAGGGTGTGGGAACTAAGTACCAGTCTCCCTCCTTATCCTGACATTAGCAGCAAGAAGGTGTTTGTTACCTGCTGCAGTTCCAGACGAGATGTGAGGGGAAAGGATAGCTTTCAGTCTTTCTGTTTTCTTCACTATTCTAGTTCAGGAGTGTTAAATTCCACCCCCACCCCCACCCCTGTCTCTTCCATGTGCGCACACACACCCCATCATCAGGTGTGGAAGCTCTAAATATCCAATGTCCCCAGAGAAGGGATTCTCTTGCACAGAGACAGGTCGAAACTAGCCAAGGAAATGACCATTTGGCTCTCTGAGGGAGGCAAAATCCTGCTCCATTTGGGTAAAAAAAAAGGCACAGAACAACACCATCCATTTGTAGGTTTCAAGGGACAGGGAGTCATGTATGGGAGAAGGTGCTATCTGTCACTCAGAGATGAATGCATGCAAAATAAACAGCTTTGTTTCTAATACGGGCTTTAAATGTGACATGATATTCCCCCTTAAAGAACTTGAGCATCTACTTCACAAATAAGCAGCATGGTGATTGAACCACAAGAGATTGAACCGCACCTATCATCCATGGATACTTGGCCATGCTGACCGGGGCTGATGGGAGTTGGAGTCCAACAACTTCTGGAGGGCGCTACACTGACTACCTATGAGTAGATCAAACAGCAGGGTCTTGTGTCACCGTAGGAATCCAGCAACATCTGGACTGACTACCCCTTTCATATATCAAGGCATATCTTACCCTTTAGCTTAATTTTTCACTTGGTGTGTGTGTGTTTTCTGTTCAGTAGTAAAAATGTAACAGTTGGGTTTGGAAGTCAAGTATTTAGGACACACAGAAGGAAAACCCTAATTGCACGATTTGTGAAACTCAGGCTTCCATAAAAAAAAAAAAAAAAACTTGGGCCAGGAACTGGGTAATGGAAGAATGGATAGCTGGTCTAGGAATAATCTTGCATTGGCCCACCCAGAGAGAAAGAGAACGACACAAACAAACAAACAAACAAACAAACAGGACTGTGTGTTTTTGCAGGGTGCCCAAGTGTGGGTTTGAGACTCTATATACATATTGTTTTATGTGCACAGATGCTCTCTTATTCATTCATTCATTCATTCATTCATTCAGTTTTAAAACATTTTTAGAGCAACAATCATCACACATTCTTGGGCAGTCAACAACAATATAAAGTATTGTTACAGAAGTTGGGTGCCACCCCCACTCTCTGCCAGCAGTAGCAAGATTCCATGGCACAGGGGTGCCAACTCAATTAAAATATTGGGGGGACGACAGGTATAATCGATCAAAAGATGCAGCATACACACCATTTGAATGGCAACACCCATCAAATTGAGGGGGCACTCTCAAATATTTTATTGGGGGGAGGTGAAGGGACCTCTGCCCGTAGGAGTTGGCTCCCAAGCCAGGGGGTTCCAGGCACTCCCCCAGGGTATGTGTTCCTTTGGAGAATTTAGACACATCAGAGACTGTTGTAGCTTTAAGAAATATGGTTTATTCACCTATTTACAACTTCAGTCTGAGTGGGCAGGGTCCAGATCTTACAGCACAGTCATCTCAAACATAGCTTGTTCCTGATAGCAGTGCAGCCCTGGAGTCAAATACATCTTTCCCAGCCAGCCTTCAGCCAACCTGCCCAAGGTGGATCTCCCTCGTTGTTCTTCCCCTTCTTCTTCCCAGCACACCTTGCCCTAAAGACTCCCCTTTCCTGTCACTTCAAATACACACCCCATCACCATGGCAACCTCTGTCTGCCCAAATTTCCTCTTTGATGGGCCATCAACACTTTGTGTCATGTGACGCCCTGTCTTGGAAAGGAAGCCTGGCCTGGCCTTTTCCACTGGCCTGCAATCTTCCCTTTAAATAATCTGCCACCATTTATTAATTTCTAGGGTTTAGTGGGGTCCCCCAAAATCTTTAACAGTATAAATTAGTTAAAACCTAATACTACACAATAAAACTCTAACATTATTCAACCATAATAAATGACAGCAAATTAAAGTTATTAGGCAGCCTGAGGAATTGTACAAATTTAAAATGCTTGAATAAATAGAAACGTACTAACCAGGTCCAAAGAGATTGCAAAGGAGGAACTAACCATACCCCCTTAGTTATGCAATTCCACATGGCCCCCCTTAGCAAGAAAGCCATCTCCTCCCAAGAAGAGAGACCCTCAGAACTGGGCCATAGCAGAATGTCTTAAGAGCAGAATGCTCTTAATAGTATTTGGATCCCAAGCCATTTCTTTTGGATATTATGGTAAATAGAGATGTGGAGGAGAGGGCAATGGACACAATCCAGTTCCCCCCACCTTTGTGCATTCAGTCAGTAGTGTCAACATTAACTGCAACATCGTCACACAATAAATCCATTGCCACATGGAATACACTTTGAAGCATCTTTAAGTGCATGCAAACATTTCAGAATATCATTACAGCAATAACTATCACCACTGTACTGATGCTGTTTCAGTCTGCTGAACCAACGGAAATGGAGCAGTTCACACAACAGACCTTTACCACTCTGACCACCCTTTCCCAACCTGGTGCTCCTCAGATGTTTTGGTCTACAGCTCCTCCCATCATCTCTGACAACTGGTCATGCTTGCTGGGGCTGATGGGATTGACAGCACAAGAATTTCTGGTGGGCACCAGATCTTGGAATGCTGGCATTGGCCTTGATGGAGACCATGCTTTGCTGTCACAGCTGCTGGCTACAGAAAATACAGAGGGCTCTGCCTGTGTGTTTGTGTGCTTAGGTGCACACAGTATAGCCTGAGCTTCCTATTTATGACGTACCTGCAAACATGGTGTGGACCTTCCCATTTTCTTCAAAGCATAAATGCATGAAGTAGAATATTGTGATCCAATTCCACTCCGCACAACTAGTGCAATGTAAAAGAAGCAACATTTAAACATGGCCATGGTCCATTTATAAAAACATCCAGAAAACCTTAGCAATGCCCCCCACAAAGTCAGCTAGAAACATCTGGAAACATTTGAACAAACCACCTAACATCATATTGGGATACATGTTAACATAAACTGCATCCAGGGCTTCAATGTTTGGCACAGTTTAACTCCCTAAACCTTGATTAATTCTAACTTTTATTTGATCTAATAGCTTAGGTATCTCACACCCCACAAACTCATAACAATACCAAACTCTGCCATTCATAGAGCTCCCCGCATCCCTCTTTGCCAGCAATGACTCCTGCTCTGCGGAGAGGTCCTGTGATGACTTGCTGGATGCTCAACGTTGCTGGGCAAATGCCGCACTTTGCATATTTGACAAACTGACACTCTGCCACATTGAGTGTCGAACTCAGCTTGTCAAATACACGGAGAGAAGCACTGCAGATCCTCAGGGAACATTGAGAGAAGCACTCAGGAAACACTGGTGACGTAATATCCAGCCAGGCAGCACCCTAAAGTGAGGGAAGAAAAGACAAGACCAGAAAAGGCTTGTTTTGATGGAAACCAGAGAACAGGAAAGGAGAACCAAAGTAGACTTGAGTTTTTTTACAAACTTTTTTTGTTTTGTTTTTTACAAATATGGAGCAGATATTATGTGGCACCTGTAGCAGTGCCAATTTAGCCGATTGAAGTGGGCGAGTGGGCATGTATGGGATAAGGTTACATCACAGGTAAACTGGCCAAGTTGTTAAGGGCTTTGAATACTATTAGTTACACTTTGAACTTGGTCCAGTAGCAAACAAACTCTGAGCGCAGGTGACAAAGCTTCATTCTCATCAGCAGCCATGCTGCAAGATTCTGCACTGGTTGTAGCTTTCAGATCAAGCACAAGTGAAGCCCCACATAGAATGCATTGTAGTAATCCAGTCTTTTAAAATTATTTTTTATTTATTAAAAGCCCATAGCACTCAGTATTAGTAACCCAGTCTTGAAGTAACCAGTGCATGAACTACGCTGGCAGAGCTAAGACAAAAAGACTTCTTCCCAGGTGTCTGAGTTTGTAGGGTGTCCTAATGCTCCAGTTTTCCTTCTACTAAACACCTTAGGCATCCAGAAAGAAGTCTTTTTTGTCTCAGAATATTCTCCATAACTCACAGAGAGTTCTACAGCCTCTACCAAACATCCTTTAGTCTCCCAGGCAGGGTTAAATGTTCTTTTTTATTTTATTTTTAGGAACTGCTTCATGATAATGCTTTGAAGCAGCATAGTTTGTGTTCCATAATGGAAGCCTAATCTCTTCAGCCCTCCTAGTGACCCTGAACTTTTAATTATCTTACTGTGTGGATCTGGTTGTTAAGCACTGAGCTTTTATCAGTGAGGTTTTTCTAGAAAAAGAGGTGCCGGAACTCCCCACAAACACCTCCCTTGTTCTCTTATAATCTTATAATGGCAAAGGTACCCACCTGAGAGGTTCCATAGCTGAGCTCCGGCGAGTTCCAGCTGAAAAAAGCCCTGCAGATAATTGTCTATAAAATGGGTGCTCTCGCCCCGCCCCATTTCTCTTGCTCTCAGATGTTGTATAAGAGTGCCTGGTCATCTGACTTAAAAAATTGAAATTGGAAGATAAATGCACCTGCTCTCCCATCACACACACACACACACACACACACACACAGAGAGAGAGAGAGAGAGAGAGAGAGAGAGAGAGAGAGTTTCTCTCTCTCTCTTTTTCTGTTAAAGCTGACCTGACTGTTGATACAATAAAAGTGAACTCTTTCTTTGTGAACAGTGACAATGAAAACAAATTGATATTATTCACCCATCTTGTTCATGTGTTACAACAACCCCTAAAGCAGGCTTTCTCAACCTCGACCCTCCAGATGTTTTTGGCCTACAACTCCCATGATCCCTAGCTAGCAGGACCAGTGGTCAGGGATGATGGGAATTGTAGTCTCAAAACATCTGGAGGGCCGAGGTTGAGGAAGCCTGCCCTAAAGAGAGAACAGAGTGTGCAGCCTTTTACAAAACTTTTTTTTTTTAAAAAAATCATCAGTTGCATTTATAGATCGTCTTTTTTCTCTAGGTGGCATATATAGATCTCCCTCTCTTCAACACCACAACAACCCAGTGAGGTAGGATGGGCTGAGGGGCAGTGACAGGTCCAAGGTCACCCAGTGATATTCATGGCCAAGTGGGGATGTGAACCCTAGTCTCTCCCAGGTCCTAGACTGACACTCTTAACAATGCAGAGCATTATCGCATTCTAATATTTATTGGAAGCCACTCAGTCAAGTTTGTCCAATAACTCAAGTGTGCTGTGCTGCAGCAAGCTCATTATGAGGAGTCTGTCGGCTTGTGGAAGTGGGAGCTCGGATGAGCCTGGTCTGAGACAGAGCAGCAGAGGGGCAGAAAAGTCATGCCCCTGGTCACACTTCCCTCTTTTGCACAAAAGGAACAGGAATGCTGTCCTCTGTTGATGTCAATACACGCACACTGTTTCACAAGCAAAGAGCCAAAGCTCACCATTCTGTGAGGGTGCAACAGCTGCATGTCATCAGAATGTTAAACACATACACACAGAGACACCTATATGTGGTGCATTTGGTGTGAGAGACTGACAGAGCGACAGGGCCGTCTTAAGAATATCCGGCGCTGTGGTGCAAAGCTCCCTCTGCCCCTCTGCCCCCCGTTTCCCAGAGTTTTTTAGGGATGACAGCGCTGCCGGCAGGGCTGGAGGAGGTGGGTGAGGGCGGCAAGCATCCAGCCTCCGCCTCTTCCCTGGCACCCTCCAGAACCTGGCGCCCCGGCGCCCCGTGCCACTAGCCTCTATGGGTAAAACGCCCCTGCAGAGCAAGAAGCATTCAGCAGTCAGTTCTATCTTCTTCTAGCTTTTTATTAATAACCATGAAATAGTGCCAGACATTTCCAGGACAATTTAGGCTGCTGGCTGGTGAGTAAGCCTTACAGAATACTCTGGGAGTTACTTCTGAGTATGCATGCAGTGGATCATACTGCACTTCACTTTACATGGATATGTAATTAGGAGAATTAGGAACTGCCGTGTACAGAGTCAGGACATTGGTCCTGTAGCCCAGTATTGCCCACAAAGGCAGTAGCTCTTTCCAGAGTTTTAGACCAGGGACCTTTCCCTGCCCTTCCTGGGGACTGAACCTGCATGCTGGATAATGTCCACTTGAATCTTGAAAGCATTATTTTGTCACTGAAGGAACACTGCTGGTTTTAACAAGTACTGTGAAATGAAGTGGTTTGACAACTGTAGCCTCTGAGAGGAACAGTGTAAAGCACTAAATGGATTTACAAAGGGATTTTTTTTCAGCCAGAGCTCCTAGGGGCTCAGCTCTGGCACCTCTCAGGAGGGCGACATTGCCATTCTAAGAGAACAAGGGAGAAGTTCATGGTGAATTCCAGCACCTCTTTTTCTAGAATTGTTTGGGGAAGGATCATGCCATAGCCACCAGGGGCCTATTTCAGAGACTATTTCAGTTTTCAGATGCAGAATGCCATGGTTTTGTGCCTTTCTGATTGGTCTAGTTACTTTTGGGCTACTTTAAAACATGATCTATATGGTTAGGTCAGCAATATTTCTTCTTTTTTCAAATCTGTGTTGCATGATTCCCCTCCCCCTTTATAAAGAGTATTATGAAGCTTGAAAACTTGATGCATTTCTACTGAAAGATACTATACATGATCCAGCAACAAACGTTTGCTGGTAACTCCTGTTGAAACATATCCACATCAGGCCTTCCCCATTCCTAAGGAGCTCCAGGCAGTATACATGGTTCTACCTCTGCATCTAATCCTCACTACAAGCCTGCAAGGTAGGGTACGCTGAGAGACAGTGACTGGCCCATGGTCACTCCGTCATCTTCATGTGGATGAGTGAGGATTTGGATCCTGGTCTGCCAGGCTGAAGTCCAACACACAAATAAGCCCATGCGATTATAAGCCTTGAGGTTGCATCGGCTGGGTGAGGACTACAGGGCCTGCTCCCTTCCAGGGCCTTTTCCAACTGGCCCAGGGGGCGTGGCCCAGGCCCTTATTTGGAACAAACTTTTGGGGAAGTGTGGGAAGTGTTCTGCCATTGCTTCCCTGTTCCAGGTGGTTAATGTGCTTTAAAATGTCCTCAAGCAGTCGGTGGCAATTTAAATTTTTATTCTTTATTTCCTTTTTTCCTTTGTTGCGGGTGGGTGAGTGGGATGGATATTTGGTTGGGGATTAATTTTAGTATAATTGTTTTGTTCCTTTTGTTGTTGTTGTTGTTTTATTGGTTCTGTATAGTTTGTGTTTTGTTTTTAAGGGGCGGGATCAGGGCTGCCTGGGAGTGGGGCCCCAGCCAACACGATGGCTGGGACAAGTTCCACAGGGGGGGAAGCACTGGGACATCCGATCTCGGTGATCATGGGCAGGAGGCGGAGTTACGCTAAGACCAGAGCATGTCATTACCGAGGAGGCAGGTTTAGTCGTTGTTTGAAGACTATCCCTGCCTCCGGGTCTGGCCTTGACCGGATGGATACTGGAATCAACAGGGGAAACCCACATGACCTGAAGGTGTTGCTGTGTAATGCCAGGTCAATGATGAATAAAACCACTGCCATCCACGACCTGATTGTGGATGGAGGATTTGACCTGGCATGTGTGACAGAGACCTGGTTGGAGGAAGCAGATGGGCCTGTCCTTGCCGCTGCTTGCCCACCAGGTTTCTCTTACGCACAGCAACCCAGGTCATGTGGGCGGGGAGGGGGGGTTGCAGTGATTTTTAGGAAGTCACTAGCTTGCACCAGGCATCCTACTGGGAAGATCCAGTTTTCTGAGTGCATGTTCTGGAAGTTGGGCAATAGGGGCAGTACAGGATTCCTTTTGGTGTACCGACCTCCCCGCTGCACCAAGGATTCCCTGTCTGAGCTGCTTCAGGTCGTGGCGGATTTTCTCCTGGAGACACCTAGTTTGGTTGTCCTAGGGGATTTTAACATCCATGCCGACACGACCTTACAAGGGGCTGCTCGGGACTTCGTGGAAAGCATGGCCTCCATGGGGCTGTCCCTGAATAAGTTTGGCCCAACTCATAGTCATGGACATGCCTTAGACCTGGTGTTCACCTCTAGTGACGTGGGTGATCTGACACTAAGAAAAAGTGAAACAAAAGAAGTGCCATGGTCAGATCACTTCCTGGTGCAACTGGACTTCTCCGCGACCCTTCCCCTCTGCAGGGAGGTGGGACCAATTCGGATGGTCCGCCCCGCCACTTAATGGATCCAAATGGTTTCCAGAGAGTGGTAGGGGATGCTTTATCCCATGTTGATGGCCTTTCAGCTGATTCCCTGGTGGCCCGCTGGAATGCGGAGTTAACCAGGGCTATCGACTGTCTGGCTCCAAAGCGCCCTCTCCGATTGCATGGAGCCCGGACAGCCCCGTGGTTTTCTTCGGAGCTGAGGGCAATGAAACAATCGCTGAGACGGCTAGAGCGTCGGTGGCAGAAAACTCACTCCGAATCTGACCGGACACAGGTTAGAGCTCAACGTCGAGCCTACCAAGTGGCGATAGCGACGGCGAAGAAGACTTTCTTCACCGCCTCTATTGCATCTGCAGAAAATAGTAGCAGGAGACTCTTTCAGGTGGTTCGCAATTTAACGGAACCACCTTTACCACCGGGGCCTTGTAAAGACCCCAAGATCTCCTGCAACGATTTTGCAAAGTTTTTGCAGATAAAATCACTCATATTCGGAAGGAGCTAGACACCACCGTGGGAGCAGGGCTGGGGCGGGAGAGTGCTAGAGCTCTGTCTGGTCAAGTTGCATGGAATCAATTTCAATCCGTTACCCCCGAGGATGTGGACAGGCTGCTTGGACGCGTGAAACCAACCACCTGTCTCCTTGATCCTTGCCCATCCTGGCTAATAAAAGCAAGCCGGGAAGGGCTGGGCGATGGGCTCTGCGGGGTGGTGAATGCTTCCCTCTGTGAGGGAACATTCCCAGATCCGCTGAAAGAGGCGGTCATTAAACCGCTTCTTAAAAAAACATCTTTAGACCCGGCCAGTATGGCCAACTATCGCCCAGTCTCAAATCTTCCATTCTTGGGCAAGGTGATTGAGCGCGTGGTTGCTGAACAACTCCAGGCACGCCTGGAGGATGCAGACCATTTGGATCCCTTCCAATCGGGATTCAGGCCTCATCATGGGACTGAAACTGCCTTGGTCGCGCTGGTTGATGATCTCCGGTGAGCTAGGGACAAAGGTGAGAGTTGTTTCCTAGTTCTGCTGGATCTCTCAGCGGCCTTTGATACAATCGACCATAACATCCTTCTGGACCGTCTAGAGGGGCTGGGAGCTGGGGGCACTGTTATACAGTGGTTTCGCTCCTTCCTCCTGGGCCGTGTCCAGAAAGTGGTGGGGGGGGATGAGTGTTCAGACCCCTGGGCCCTCACTTGTGGGGTGCCTCAGGGTTCCGTCCTCCCCCCATGCTTTTTAACATCTATATGAAGCCGCTGGGAGAGATCATCAGGGGGTTTGGACTGGGTGTCCATCAATATGCAGATGATACCCAGCTCTACCTCTCTTTCAAATCAGAACCAGTGAAGGCGGTGAAGGTCCTGTGTGAGTGCCTGGAGGCGGTTGGAGGATGAATGGCGGCTAATGGATTGAAGTTGAATCCTGACAAGACAGAAGTACTGTTTTGGGGGACAGGGGGCGGGCTGGTGTGGAGGACTCCCTGGTCCTGAATAGGGTAATGGTGCCCCTGAAGGACCAGGTGCGCAGCCTGGGAGTCATTTTGGACTCACAGCTGTCCATGGAGGCGCAGGTCAATTCTGTATCCAGGGCAGCTGTCTACCAACTCCACCTGGTACGCAGGCTGAGACCCTACCTGCCCGCGGACTGTCTCGCCAGAGTGGTGCATGCTCTAGTTATCTCCCGCTTAGACTACTGCAATGCGCTCTACATGGGGCTACCTTTGAAGGTGACTCGGAAACTACAACTAATCCAGAAAGCGGCAGCTAGACTGGTGACTGGGGGCGGCTGCCGAGACCACATAACACCGGTCTTGAAAGACCTACATTGGCTCCCAGTACGTTTCCAAGCACAATTCAAAGTGCTGGTGTTGCCCTTTAAAGCCCTAAACGGCCTCGGCCCAGTATACCTGAAGGAGCGTCTCCACCCCCATCGTTCTGCCCGGACGCTGAGGTCCAGCGCCGAGGGCCTTCTGGTGGTTCCCTCATTGCGAGAAGCAAAGCTACAGGGAACCAGGCAGAGGGCCTTCTCAGTAGTGGCGCCCGCCCTGTGGAACGCCCTCCCATCAGATGTCAAAGTGATAAATAACTACCTGACATTCAGAAGACATCTTAAGGCAGCCCTGTTCAGGGAAGTTTTTAATCTGTGGTATTTTAGTGTATTTTTGGTTTCTATGGAAGCTGCCCAGAGTGGCTGGGGAAACCCAGCCAGATGGGCGGGGTACAAATAATAAATTATTATTATTATTATTATTATTATTATTATTATTATTATTAACCTAGTCTTACCCATTGAAATAAATTGACTTGTTAGCCGCAGCCATTGGGTTTAATCATTCTAACAGATTTTGGTTGGATTGTGCCCACTTTCTAACCCTTTTATGTGTCTCAGCTGTGCAACTGAACACATCTCTCCTGCTTCTATCTGTATTTTATATTATTATTTTTTAAGGCAAATAAAAATGATCACCAATCCAATACTATGCTTAGAACAAGCTGGGGGTTGTTTCTGAAAGAAATATCCCCCTTTAAGACTGGAGCTGGGGTAGCTCAGTCGGTAGAGCCTGGATGGCTCAGTTGGTTAGAGCGTGATGCTGATAATGCTAAGGCTGCAGGGTCGATCCCTGTATGGGTCAGCTGCATACTCTTGCATTGCAGGAGAGTTAGGCTAGATGACACTCAGGGTCCCTTCCAATGCTGCAATACTATTATTCTATGAGACTTGTAATTTCGCAGGACGTTGGGCAAAAGATTCCTGCACTGCAAGGGATGATCCCTGTGGTCCCTTCCAACTCTATGGTTCTATGGGCTTGTTTGTTTGTTTGTTTGTTTGTTTGTTTGTTTGTTTGTTTGTTTGAAAATCCATCCCAGGATTGGCCTGAGGCACTTCCTGGGGAACTATCAAACAATCACTAGTTTTCCTGGCATTTTGAATTCAGGACTTATGCATTATAGTCTCCAAAATTAAAAAAACACACACAAAGTAAGCGAGAAAATGCCTCGGTTTGGACCAATTTGTTTTTAAATGCAGGAATCGTTTGTGTGACTCAAAATTGGCCTAACCTATTTGGATACAAATCCCATGAGTTACTCTGAATTAGTAAATGTGTTTAGGATTACTAATCCTTACAGTCAGTGTGGCAGAGTGGTGAGTGTGAGACTGCAACCTGGGAGACCAGGGTTTGAAATCCCCACTTGGTCATAAGGCTCCCTGGGTGACCTTGGGCAGTCACTGCCTCTGAGCTCCTTGGACGAAAGGGTGGGATATAAATGCAACAAATAAATAATAATCTTGATTTAAGCATGCTTCCATCTTAATTCCAAAATAAATGAAAAGGGGAACAAAGATACACTCGACAAGTACCCTCAAGTTCAAGCTGGGGAGGGAGACTGTTAAAAGCAATACCATTTTGATAGGGTGTTTGACAGTTCGAAGTTTCTCATACTATCTCTGTGATTTACCCTCAGTACATTTACCTCCCCTTAAAATAAGCACACAACAGTGCTAAATACTGGGTAATAATTAGCACAATTAGTGAAGATCACCAGCAGCTAGTAGTCTGGGAGGCACTACTCTCTCTGAAGAGGGCTGCCAACTTTTCAATCAGCTCAGCAGCTGTATCTTTACAGTGCAAAAAGTAGCAGCTGAAATTTTCAGAGAACAATACTGTTTAAGGCTTACTTACTTTGCCAAACCTTTATTAGTATAAAAAAGGTAAAGGGACCCCTGACCATCAGGTCCAGTCATGACCGACTCTGGGGTTGAGGCGCTCATCTCGCTTTATTGGCCGAGGGAGCCAGCGTACAGCTTCCAGGCCATCATAAAACATCCATATATAAAAATTATTATTATTATTATTATTATTATTATTATTAGCCTTTATTGGCATAAGTTTAAACAATGAAATCATAAAATCATCCAAATACATTGATAATCCAAACATATTCAATATATAAAAGACTAGATAGCCACCATTGAATAAATCAGGCAACTTGAGATTTAGCTTTACAGATCTTGGCTAAAATTTAAAAATATATACAAATAAACAGCCAGGTAAAATACCGTATATAATGATGAGGATTTTTATTGGGATTTCCCCCCGCTAAATAGTGCCATTCACCACTCTAGGAGATACTATTGACAAAAACTCAGTCACCCTCGCACAGTTACTTCCGGGTTAATATCAGACAGATAGAATCTGATATTTTCATTGTGCCATGATGTTAGACTACCCAAAAAAGGCATAGCACGCGTTGTACAATGGACGTAGCTGGTTCTACAATGGACAGTAGAAAAGGATCTGTTCTACAGTGCCTGGCACATTCAAAGAACATCCACAATGTCTATCATCCTGTTCTCACAGTAGCCAACCAGATGCCCCAATGGGAAGCCTGGACTCCCCAAGCACAAAAACACTCTCCCCTACTGTGTTTTCCAGAAACCTGGCATTCAGAAGCATTACTGCCTTGGAAAGGCAAGGTAGAACATAGGTCCCCATATGTGCAAGTTTGCTTGTTTGTTTGCAGTGCCCACACAGTCATTGGCATCAAAATGCCAGTTTGTATTCCACCACCCTTTTAATCTGGATCTACACTTTCTAGGGAGAATATGATTTTTTAAAAAAAAATATGTTGCCAACAACCTGGTTGCAATATCTATCAAAAACCTGTTTGCAATATAAAGGTTTTTGCAGTAAAAAAAAACCCCGTCCCACCCATTCTGGAAGCACCCAAATGAGCAGAGCTATGCAGACATACTCTACCTGTCCCTGTGATCATGTGAAGTGGGTAAGACGAGCCCACTCCTCCTGCTGAGGAGCACCCTTCCATCAGAGCAGAAGAGGAGCAAATGCAGCTCCGGGAAGGACAAAGGCTTGTTTTGAAGGGGCCTCTCCTCTTTTCAAGAGGAAGCTGAAAATGGGGAAGATAAAGCTGAGGTTAGATGACAGGAAATATCTGGATGTGAAGTGACAACATGTCAGCATTGAGAAATATTGCTGCAAAAGCAAGCAGCTTCTTGTCTTGAGCTGTGTGGCAAACACCACCAGCTGCTCCCGCTTGACACCAAATTAGGACTGCATTTCTAAGTAATGTCCTCTCCATCCTGCAGCTAGGGGTTTATCCACATTTACCTTTTCTTTGCCCTTTGCAGGCATGGTCCACACTTTAAAGCTCTGTGTTCGAGCACACACACCCTTTAATTTTCTTTTTTGCTCTTGAGCTTTCCCTACGAAAACCCGCTCCTTAGCACTCAGTCAGAGCAAACATCAATCTGCAGAAAACCCGAATTGGTGTTTGCTCCAACTGAGCGGGTTTTGCAGGGAAAGTTCTGGGGTGGCGGGAAAAGAGCACTCGGATGCAGAACTTAAAAATGCCAACCTGTGCCTGGAAAGAGCAGAACAAAACGTCACTGTGGATAAGCCCTTTGAGTATGAACTAAAATATTGTGAGCTGCAATCCATTTAAAGCAAGACTTAAAAAATGAAAGGGTGGTGGTGGTTGAAGCTAGGGGAGACTATGGAGCTGGCCCCAGAGAGTTTGCCATGACCAGTGGATGGCAGCACACTGTACCATCTGCACAGGGCACCCCCCACCCAGCATACTAAGAGATCCTTGTTGGAGGCCATGTTGCTTCAGTGATGTCCCTGAAACCATTATCATCCCATTGAGTGCCATTCAGGTGGCTTGTTCAGTTGAGTGGGTCCTAGGCAGTGAATCCATTGCCCCCACCCCCACCCCGCTTCCAAAAAAATAGCCCTTTGAATTTCTGGCTTGCTTTGGTTAGGTTTCTAGAAGCATTTGGTCAAGACAGAATGACCAATGCTCTGTTTGGTGTGCATGAGTGGCTAGCACCAGAAAACTTGATGGCTGGTAACGCTCATGCTAATCACCTCAATGGAAACATCACCATGGGACTTGCATTGAACGTGGTCAAAGGAACAGTGAGGACTTGGGGGAAGGACCAAAACTCAGGAATCTAGCAGATAGAAGTCAACATGGCAAGCGACACATGGTCTGTGTCCAGCACCATGTAATGACAGCAAAGACATGTGAGCCAGTGTATGTTGTAGAGCAACAAGCCTAAGAGACTGTGAACCTATCTGGTGTGGCTGATACACATCAAAATCCACTTTTGGTGAGAACAGATGAGAGTTAAACAAAAAATTATTTTAAGCGTTTGTTCATTAACCAGCTGAGTTAGACTTTGGCTTAGCTTATTTGGCATTACATATAATTTGCTTGTTAAACCCCTATCACAGCTGAATATCAGGTATTGGCATGCGTATTCAGGACTCAGTGCAACGTTTGAAGTTCAAATATCAGCTTGACTCAACTTCCTTCTTAAATGTTCTCAGAGAGAAGGCAAATATTGTAAAATGCAATGTTCATATTGAAATTCAGGAGAAAGGTTGAGAAGACAATTGCATGTTTCAAGTTCAAACACTCTCTCAAGTGCCACAGCTCTTGTAACTGTGTGGTGGTAGGGATCCTTCAGTGTGTTGTCTCTCTAGAGCAGTGAGACATAACAGTGGAAAATGGAATGTAGGCTTAGCTTCTCTGCTTAAAGTTTGAATTCCAATAGACTTCCTCATCTGGTGGGGGGCTAGAGGTGGGAAGGTTCTAAATCACACAGTAAAACATCGTCGTCATCATTATAATCATGTTATTATTTATATGCCACCCATCAGACTGGGTTGCCCCAGCCACTTTGGGCGGCTCCCAACAAAATATTAAAAACACAATATAACATCAGCCATTCAAAACTTCCCTGAACATTAAGGGATCATGGTGGCACTCAATAAGCATGTTCAGCCGGCTCCCTCATACTCATTTTTAATGGAGGAAAGGAAGATGCCAAAAAGCTGAAGTTTTCCTTCTCTCCTTAGTTGTTAATTGATGATTCAGCTGAAAGCCAGGCACAGGTTGTCCTGCTCTCCCCACTGCCCAAAGCAAACTTGCAATGGGTTATACCAGAACTTAATTAGCGTGGGTGCATAATTACATTGGCCCTCCTTGTGCTCTCGCGCACACGCACACACAATGAAGGTTTGCCTCATCACCTACAAACTATTCCCATCCATTGCTAACAAGCAGTAGATTCACTGAGAATGTGGTTGCTGTAGTCTTCCGCTTTCATTTCAAGTGTTTAATGAAAGAGGAATGGAGAAAAATAATGTTTATTTAAAAATAGACTGCACAGAAGGAAGATACTACCCCAAAAGTATGCATCATTTAATTTTTTGAAAAACACTGAAGATGTCCTCCCTCTTTGATTACCTGCAATCCAACGGGTGTGATAAATACCTCTTAAAAACTTACGTTTGGTTGGCAGGTTATAATGCTGTGTTGACACTTGTGGTGGAAATGGTGGAAAGTTTCGAGTCTTACAGCGGTACCTCAGGTTAAGTACTTAATTCGTTCTGGAGGTCTGTTGTTAACCTGAAACTGTTCTTAACCTGAAGCACCACTTTAGCTAATGGGGCCTCCTGCTGCCGCTGCGCTGCCAGAGCACGATTTCTGTTCTCATCCTGAAGCAAAGTTCTTAACCTGAAGCACTATTTCTGGGTTAGTGGAGTCTGTAACCTGAAGCGTATGTAACCCGAGGTACCACTGTATATAGAATCACAGGATCATAGAATTG